AAGCGCCGATTAGACACGACCCTCGAGGGCATCCGGATCAAGGCGGCATGTTTCCGCCGCGATGCGACTCATCTGGACCAATGGCTCACTGCGCAGACCTTGTAGTAGCATGTAGTACGGGAACGAAATGGGTTGTGTATATATACTAACTAGTGTACCACGACCGATGTTTATCGTCTGCTGGTTCAAACGTTACTCTAGTTGTATAACCATGGGAGAGGGAGTCACTCAAGCCGAAAACGTACGCATACATGACGTTATCTCAATGCTGACCCTCATTGAAATACAAGAGTCATGCCTCAAAGTCTAAAAGTTAGTACTAGTAGTAACTTACGTTATAAATCTTAGTTAATCTCCAAAAATCGATTAGTACACGGTCCCCCCCACATTGAGATTATATTTCAAAGGGTTTATTAAATTAAGGAGTGTTTTGGGTAAGAAGCAAGTCAGTCGTCGGTTGAGACGACGACAATCTCTGCATTTTCACCCAAGTGAAAGTCCCCAATCACAGCCAAGACGTCGTCTAGATTGCCCAGCAGATTGACCAGCGCGAGCGTGGTGTTGGCAAACGTCCCAAGCTCTTGGACGACGCACTTGTGGTCGAAGATAAAGTTCTGTTGAATCGGCAAATGCAGCACTCGGCCGATGAGTTTTTGAGTAAGCGGCTCGTTGTTGAGGAGGTGGGGGAACAGCAGCTGGATGGACTTGCGAGACATGCGCAAGTGGAGCGTGGTTTGTGCATGCACAACCACGTTGGGGGAGAATGAGACCACGTGCGCTTGGTGGAGCTCCATGTGGAACGCTTCAAATGTATTGACGTACAGCACCCACTGCTGCAGGAGTTTGTCCAGGCCAATATTACCCATGATCACCAGGTCTGGGCTCATGGTGCTGTTTAAAAAGTCGAACTGGGTCGTGTGCTGGGCACATTCTGGGTCGAGATTGTACCCGTACACAAACATACGAAAGTACTCGTTGGCAACGTTGCACTCGGGTTCAAACGTCCGCAGCGGAGGTGGAATGGCCTGTTTCATCATCTCCAAACGTCCTTCCATGCGAGCCACATCGGTGCGCAGCTGGATCACGGTTTGGTTGAGGAGGTCAGTCGTGCACTTTTGTTCCGCGCGATACCGACGCTGATTGATCTTGCTTTGATTGCGCCTCGTGGCTTTCTTCATCAAGACTCTTCCCATAGCCGCCGCTCTCTTGGCCATGTCCATGTCGATGACCACTTGAGGTGTCTTTATGGTGTACACGATTGCTGCCTCCATGGCAACGTCTTCGCGTCGCACCTTCATGATCGTGCTGGTGGAGAGAACGATGACTTGTTGGGTGCGACATTTCTCCCCCAAACCACTCATTTGTATACTTCGAAGTAAACTGGACCAATCACAGCACCTTTAGTTGAGTTATCAGTCGTTTGCCTCAAATTTCAACAATTATTCGACATTATTTTGAATGCCGAGACGTGAAATGGCCACATAAATATCACTTTTGCAAATTCACGCGGAAATATAATAATATTCCAACGAAGTGATTCTTCGGTGGGGGTGATAAAGTGGTCATGCTACAGCACAACCAACTCGTAGGAGCTGTAGCACGATCGGATCAATTCTTGCTTCACCAGAAACCTTCTTCATCGCGTCTTCGCTTTTGGCTTTCGATGAAGCGCACTTTTCTTCGAAAACAGCAAACCGTTTCATCGTTCTATTTACTCCTTTGAATACAAAAATAAGCATTTAAATACTTACAGTTAGTAGTATACATTCTTGTATAGAATTGTTTTATTGGAGTGTTGATGGTGGAGCTCGCTGAACGGTATCCGGTCAAAATACTCTTTGAATTTCAAAAAATATCAAACAACACATTTTCGTTTTAAAGAGCTGTTCATGCCTGGCACGCATTTTCATATAACGTTTCACCTCGACTAATTCGAGGCCAATCGGAGGTGAGGAAGTAAGGTTTTTCATGTCAGTCGAAATAATCCTTGGACAGAGGTGGTTATGACATGATTATAGCGTTAGTACTAGTAGTATTTATTAGGGCGGGTCTTGATGTCACGAAAAATGGCATAACATGGCCGTTTTTCCAAGAAAAGTTGCCAAAATCGAAATATTACTTTTTTCGAGAGTCTGGATGCCACCAAAGTTCAAACATTTATACCACAATTTTCTTGAGAATCGGGTGTTTTATGGAATAAAAAAATGGACCGATTTGGTCCAACTTTATTATGGAGGTTTGAGTTCACATTGAACTGTTGCACTTCAATCGGAAATCGAAATAATTTGTCCAATATTCAGCTGCCATCCAGACAACTTTGTAGATATGTACTTCTTTTCTCCTTTTCTTCGTGGGATTCGAGCCTTTGGGAAATATTTGGTGACTTGCCAAAATGATTTATGGCATAATTTTATGGATGCCATCCAGTCCAGCCCTTACTTAAAGTTACTGTTAATGTTCGTCAGAAAATTGACCTCAAATACCAAAGTTAGATACTATTAATACTTGAATTAGTATTAGATACCTCATCCGGAATCAGACCTTATCCGTATGATGTGAGGCACAAAGACATGCAGGGATCTGCAGACAACTCATAATGTCAATATCACACCAATACATCTCACCAAACCACGTTCTATCTCTCGTTTTACGTCAAACAACGTCGTCATTCGAGTTGGAATTCGCTGCCATTCGCAGGCCGAAAAAGTGCAAGTTGAGGTGTTTATGTGACCAGTTGATGGGGTTTCACTTTGAAAAGTCACCTCATCACACTCAAAATATAGTCGAATAATCATCGAAGTTCTTGTTCAATTTGGGCGAAAATTGGCAATGACGTACGAATGCGATGTACCTTCTGTTAATATAGGTCACTCCAGTGTCAAATAGCCATACTGTGATTGGTCAATCTTTACAAAGTGGTTTCGAACCAGCAGGGGGCACCCAACAAGTCATCTTGCCCTCTGCCATCATGATGGTGCATCGGCCCAACTTTGCCATGGAGGCAGCAATCGTGTACGCCATGAAGACACCTCAAGTGGTCATCGACATAGAAATGGCCAAGAGAGCAGCGGCCATCAGAAAAGTCCTGATGAAGAAAGCCACGAGGCGCAATCAAAGCAAGATCAATCAGCGTCGGTATCGCGCGGAACAAAAGTGCACGACCGACCTCCTTAACCAAACCGTGATCCAGCTGCGCACCGATGTGGCTCGCATGGAAGGACGTTTGGAGATGATGAAACTGGCCATTCCACCTCCGCTGCGGACGTTTGAACCCGAGTGCAACGTTGCCAACGAGTACTTTCGTATGTTTGTGTACGGGTACGATCTCGACCCAGCATGTGCCCAGCACACGACCCAGTTCGACTTTTTAAACAGCACCATGAGCCCAGACCTGGTGATCATGGGTAATATTGGCCTGGACAAACTCCTGCAGCAGTGGGTGCTGTACGTCAATACATTTGAAGCGTTCCACATGGAGCTCCACCAAGCGCACGTGGTCTCATTCTCCCCCAACGTGGTTGTGCATGCACAAACCACGCTCCACTTGCGCATGTCTCGCAAGTCCATCCAGCTGCTGTTCCCCCACCTCCTCAACAACGAGCCGCTTACTCAAAAACTCATCGGCCGAGTGCTGCATTTGCCGATTCAACAGAACTTTATCTTCGACCACAAGTGCGTCGTCCAAGAGCTTGGGACGTTTGCCAACACCACGCTCGCGCTGGTCAATCTGCTGGGCAATCTAGACGACGTCTTGGCTGTGATTGGGGACTTTCACTTGGGTGAAAATGCAGAGATTGTAGCATCGTCCGAGTACAACTCAAACTAGCATGGTGTTAATGGCAATTGTATGGAGAAGCCAATGGTTGCATGAACTTTGTCTGCGTACTAGCGTATCGAGACAGTCCAGTGTCCATTTCTTTCGCCTCTCGACAGTATTACTGCCGTACACTGGTTTATGGAACTCGAACGACTGACGTTTCTGTCTATCAGTATCATTGGAGAGATTCTAATTGCAAATCGAGTCGGCACCATATTGCCCAACGACACGGCTGCTGCGCTGTCTCACTTAACGTTACCATGAAGTTTGGAGTTTGTAAAACGCCCATGTGGAGGTATAGCTCTGTTGGCGTTGAATTGTGTCGCAGTATATGTAGCCATCCCCCAATTTATTATTGCTATTTATAGTACAGGTATGAATTGTGTAACCGCTTTCGAATGTCCTGTCAGAACAAATAAATGACCTCACCAAGACACAAGACCTTCCATCCACGATACTTACTATACACATGTATGGACATCTGATACAATATCTCACCGACTGCTGATGGCGTTATCATAAAAACGTGTTTTTACTATAAAACGCAATGATAGGCACGGAAAAACCGTTGGAACATTTCCGTGCACATAGACGCTCCACCGTCCGACGACGGGTGGGAGGGTGATAAAAATCCTAGTGGTACGGGTGCACCTCGTCCAGTGCCGCCGATGACTTTCCGCATGACTTTTGATCCGAGCAAAGCTATGATGCCACGTGAGCGCAGGCAGGCTGTACGCGACATGCGAGAGCCTGCTGCCGACGCTTCGTCAAGATCCCTTCCTGCCAAGCGCCGTGCCACGACGAAGAAACCGGCAAAGCGAGTTCCCGACGATAAGCTCGACCTCCGACGCACCCAAAGCAAGATGAACCAAAGGAGGTATCGAGCAGAGCAGCTCGAGTTAATGGGTCGACTGCAGGGCGAAGTTGCAAGTCTCACGAAGGACGTGGCACGGTTGGAAGGGCGCGTAGGACCATTGCAAGCGTCAGTGCCGAAGAATTTGCGGTCCTTCGACCCCGAGATCAGCGTCGCAAACGAATACTTCCGACTTTTTGCCCAAGGATACAACAAACACTCGCTCGACCCCAAGAACGTGTACCAACGAGACTTTCTCTGTAGTGTCATGCAGCCCGACTTGGAGTTTATGGGCGCCTTAGGCCTGGAAAAGCTGTTCACTCAGTGGGGATTATACACGACGCTTTTCCAGTCTGTCATGATGACGTGCGACAAAAGCTGCGTCGTGATGTGTGAGCCCAACATCATGCTCGAAGGGAACGCGCGCATGCAGCTGCGCATTTCCCGCGGCACCATCGAAGCATTGTTCCCCCACTTGCTGCACAACGAACGGCTGGTTCAGAAACTCATCGGGCGGGTCATGGTGCTGTCGGTGTTGTGTCAATTCACGTTTGACGAACACCTCAAAGTCCAAAAGTTCTCGACGTTTGCAAACCCCGTAGTGGCCCTGATGGACTTGCTGAAATCCGCCGAAGATACTGCGACTGCTGTCTCCGGCTGCCTTCTCAAAGAGAACGGCGAACTCGTTCCTGTCACGCGGCAGTCCTTGATACCTTATGGCGTGACTGTTTAAGGTGCACAGGGTACATGCATGCCGCTCATCCACAACTGTTCAATAATAGCACCCCAAAAGGCATGTCACTTTTTGTACTTATCTGCATAAAGCCGAAAATTGGCCAACACGTTTAAACGTATATTTTCTAAAATGTAATTTTGACAAACTAACATTCCGGATTTTTGGCCGTTGACTTGTCCGACCACAACGACCACATGCAACACGCGGTGACGACGCGGCTTGGACTACCCGTTCCCAGGACGCCTTTGAAACCTGAAGACAGGAAAGCTAGGCGACGGCAACAGAGCAAGGTGAACCAACGACGGTACCGCGCTGAACAACTCCAGTACGAGACAGGCCTTGATGAGGACGTGCTGCGCCTGACGAGGGACGTGGCTCGTCTGGAAGGCCGCCTGGAGACGCTTGCGTTCACATTGCCCAAGAACATGCGCACGTTTGCACCAGAATCCAAAGCCGCGTCCGAGTACTTTCGCGTGTTTGCCAACGGTTACGCAACGACGGCTGGCGACGCCGCATATATCAACCAGCACGACTTTGTCCGGGGCGTCATGCGGGACGACATGATCTTCATGGACAGCGTCGGGTCCGACAAAGTGTTTGAGCAGGGCGAGCTCTACGCGACGCTGTTTCACTCGGTGGGCATGAAATGCCACTACAGCCACGTCATCTCGACCTATCCGGACGTGATGCTGGAAGCGCATGCGACGTTGCACTTGCGCATCTCTCGCACGACTATGCACGTGTTGTTCCCGCACCTCCTAGACAACGAGCCGCTCATCCAGAAGCTGCTCGGCCGGGTGTTGGTCATGGACGTGCTGTGCCAGTTCACGTTCGACGAAGACTTCTTTGTCACGCGATTCAACACGGTGGCCAACCCCGTCGTGGCGCTCATGAATCTCCTCCACAGCATCCAAGACACGACCACCGCCCTTGCCGGCCTTCGTCTCAAAGCCAACGCCGAGCTCCCTGCAAAGGGTGACGCGATCTCGTGTTAATGTGGCTGATCCAGAGATAGCACGATTGGACGATCGGAGGAATTCCTTCGAAATGGTGGTCGTTTTTTGTGTTTGCTTCGTAGAAATAGCTGAGAAGTGCAATGTCGGGTAGTAACGTAGAACAGAGGAGGTATATATTAATAATACATGACATATTAATACCGTATAGTGTGAATTCGCTAAAAACTTCCAAAATTCGCGTGGTTGTCTAATCAATATTGAATCACGCTGGAGTTCTGATTGGCTGACTATACTTGTCCTTTCTGTAAGAGCCAATTAAATCCACGCAAATTTGGATTAGCCAATAGCGTCGATTCGTGATTCGATTCGGCGGCGTGATTCGATCGACGAGGTCTGGAAATTCGTACCGAATCCACAATATTGATATGACTACGCTTTTGAGACTAATATTACATAGATTTACGTACGTACTGTACGGCAACACCACATTGACATCCTTCGGCCAAGACGAGAATGGACACTATGACTGGAGCTAATCTTCGACTCGCGCGTCCTCTGCCCTGCTGCTGCTGGCCCCTCGCCGAATTCCCTTGACAGTCGACTGGTTCATCGCTGCTTTGTCTTGCTGTCGCTTGAGCGCTGCGTTGGATGCTCGCAATGCACGGTTTTTTTGCATCTGTTTCGCAGTTTAATTTGGCATTGCACAACCATAAAAAAATCTGCTGATCCTCACCTCGTCGTCCAAACGGGCTTTCAGAGCTACAATATCCGCATTATGATCTGACGTAGCCAAGGGTGGCACATCATTTCGCTGTCGACGCTGTGGTTCACGAAGTTCGTCCACACTCTATGAGGACATCCCCGTTGGCGGAGAACAATTTGAGCAACGTTTGGCGTACCAACTGACCCCTGTCGACGTCGTGGTCCGGACGTTCGGGACATGTTTCTTCCGCCTGACGCACCACTCGACCGCGCAACGCCGTGGCAAACCCGGCGCTCATGGGGCGACGCACGGGCGCCGACACCGGTCGAGACGTCGGACTCGTGGGGGCTCCTTTGAGGGGCGGTGGCTTCTTGTCGCAAGTGACACGCGCACGGACAGCGGGGTCAGAGCCGAGGAGGGCTTTGAACGCGCGGAGTTTGTTCGGGTTGGTCAGGATGGCTTTGGGCCATGGAAGTACGTCGTGACCCCTAGCAATACAAACATCTCAAACGTCGTGCAATCATCTTCTTCTGCTAGTCGTACCGATGGGGGGGGCCTTGGGCAGCGTCAAACAGGCGACTGGCATACACATACAAGTCGGCCATTTCTTGCTTGAGCGTCTACATGCAAAAATCAAAGGCAGACGCAATGAGTTTTCTCAAGGGAGACGCTTTCGCCGCCGTACGTCGCAGAGGTGGGTGCTTTGGGCCAGTTTATCACTCCAGATTTTGGTGAGCTCGTCGCACTCGGCTCTTTTCCGAGTCAGGAGACACTCGTACTGCGTTTTTACAAGGGCAATGTCGTCTTGTTTGCCCTTTTCCAACGCCAGCGCTCGCTGGTGGAATTGCGCGTGCAGTAGTTGCTCAGATTGCTGGACAGACGACGGTGTGAATGCCGCTGGCTTGGCGTCGTGAAACTGCACATGCAGATGCTTGTTGAGCTCGTGGCTGTGCGCGAGAAGGTGTCTGATCTCTTCCTTGTGTTTGGAGTTGCCCATGGCCTGAATACGGTCCAGCGCCACGTCCTTCTCCTGCACGACGCCTTCCAGCCGCGCAATTTCCTTCTTGTGTTGTTGCAATTGCCGTTGAAGTTCGTCCTTTTCGCGCTTGAGCTCTACCTACAACGCATGTCCATAATGGTCGACATATTCCAGCAGGTTCTAGTTCCAATACTCGTTGTCTAGTGAGTAGTTAGGTTACCTGAGACGCCAACACCACGCTCTTGACGTCTTCTGCCTTTTGCTTCATATGGTCGCGCTCTTTGCGAAGAAAGTCTACAGGGGGGGGGCAAACACCACATGAACCGGGAATCAATCACACACCGATGGTAGATCGTACCTATGGCACGACGCATTTCCAAATTGCGTCCGGTGTCGAACGAGGTCCGCCGCCCCCCTAGCGTGGTTTCGTCGGTGATGGAGAAAGGAATTGGGTTGCCGTGCATGTCGAGCACGGCGTCGGGGCTCTGCGCCATCAGCACCGTGCCATCCTATGTCCCTTGCCCGTTAGCTTATCTTTCACGGGGGGGCGAGAGTACCTTGAGCCGGACGTTCCCCTCGGCCGTGTACTCGCTCACGTCGAAGCCGAGCTCCCGCAAGACATTGCTCATGCGCTGGTTCTGCTCGTTCTTGATGTGTTCCAGCTTGCGGTTTAGCATGGCGATTTCCTCCAGCAGCTTCCGAATGCGCTTGTCCTTGTCCCCACCCGACTGGCTGATGTAGTTGACCCGGGGCTGCCCACGAAGACACATGTTGGGGACGACGACTTTAACGTTGTTGAGTTCATACCTGGTTCTGCACCATGCGACACCGGTTGGCAAACTGCATCGTGTTGAGGCACTCCTCGTAGTGCTCTTTCATTGGGTGGATCGTCGCAATGAGCAACGTGTACGAATTCCCCCCTAAAGGGCGATAAACGACGCATGTGACACTGTGCGTAGAAGGCAGCAAACACAACTGGTGGTGTCGTTACCGATGCTATTTTGCAACAACCGCGTCAACTTGGAATCTCGATACGGAATGTAATTGAAGCCGCTTTCCGGGTCCAAACTCATGACGACTTTGCCCACGGCGCTCAGACTCGAGTTGATATGCAGCGCTTCTTTGAGGCGCTGTCCGTCCGACTCGCTCTTCTTCAAGCGCTCCGACCTAGTACATGTTGTAAAAAATTTCATTATTTTCTGCCAAAATTGAAGTTGCAGGTGTGGGTTTACCCGGCCAAGTCGACCAAGTTCATCATTCCGCACATCACTTGCCCCAGCGCCACGTCTACTTGACATCCAAATGACTTTCTAAGCAACACGTGAGGCGTACGTACCGTGCTGAAAGATGTGAATCGTAAACACAGTGTGCGACCGCGACGAGACCGAGTTCATTTTGGTTTCGTGGGTCGCTCGAAGCGTGAGCCCCATTTGCACGATCGCATTCACCTATCGTATTTCTCACAACAACACACTCGTACGCCACTACACAGTCACTGTCCGGCCGACGTACTTCTTCGCGGTTGGACACTTCAATCATGGACAAGTCCTTGACATACACCATGCCTTGTGCGTCTTCGTGGATTTCCAAGTTTTCTACAAGCATATATATATATAGTTATTACGTGGTCAGGGTAACAGCCAACCCAAAATAAAGAGCGTCATGTTCAGAACCTCTTTCGTAGTCGAAGCGCGGTTCGTCCTTGGCAGATCCCGTGGAATGCACACTACGAAACGGCGTACATCCCGTGAGAGACTTGAGTCTTTGTCGACTTGACGAATATAAATAGTATTACGATCCAACCTGGCATTGCTGTCGGTGCGCTTCATGATTTTCTACACCGGAGAGTGTCATCTGCATTGTATTGTCCATGTAATGAACACAGAGATGGGGCAACGCCTTACATTGCGCAGATACCAGTCGGAGCCACTGCTTTGCTGCAGCGACACGGTTCGATTCGTAGACAGCACGTATCTACAAAGCCACAAACAGAAATTGGTGGTGAACGACAGCCATCCATTTTGAAAGAGCTACTTTACGTACTCGCGCCCCAAGTCGCGAATGCGATCGCAGTAAATTTCCAAAAAGCTCACGACCAACGTATACACCTACGATTTACAAACGTGTCAATACTTTGCCTTGACGAGTCAAGGTACACGTGCCGGTTTGTTGGGTTTGTGGCCATTCGTGTTGGACTCGATCATTTCAAACAAGTAGTCGGCCGCCCGCGGAATGATCCCGTCCTTTTCCCCCGTTTCCCCAAAGATGCTACATATAGCAGCAGGCTCAACAGATGACCCGTTTTAGAGTGTATTTAGAAAGGGCGCTCGTACCTGTACGTTTTACCAGACCCCGTCTGGCCGTAGGCAAAGCAGCAGCTGTTGATGCCTCGCAAGGCGTAGTCGACCAATGGCTTACTGCACTGCACCAGCATAACAACAAACATGTTGTCGCATGGTAACGAGTACTGATGTGCTCGTACCGACTCGAACACCTCCTCTTGCGTCGTTTCCGTCCAAAAAATCTACTCGTGAGATCAACTACTAGTAGTAGCACCACGACGTCGACACGCGTACATTGTCAAAGCTGAAGGCGTGTTCACCGTATTGCGACTTGTCCACATCCTACATATGTAGCATCAACGCTGGATCATTGAAGCGCGTGAAGGCTTGCCTTGATTGTGATGTTCTTGGGCGCCTCCCGCTTGCGTTCAAACATGCCGTCAAATGGCTCCGATCCATCGGCGCAAGGCCGCGCTCGGACGTACACCTACCGCACGCCAGATCGTCATGCCGAGCATGCAATTATTACGTTACCTTGACATGCTCACACGCTGTCACACGGGTGTAGTCCGTCACGACCTTGTGGTCCATGCCACGTGATTGTCAGGAAACGGAAACACTGCGTCGAAAGGTTGCGTGGAATCCGGATATTCAATTATCCGGAATTGATGGACATTTCAAAACGTAGGCGTTGGCAGGCAATGTGCCGATCACGATGGGACTACGGACACGGGCCCATATTTGACGGCAGGAACAAAAGGGGCCAGACATTGCTGGGCATAGTAAGCCGTTGCTCCAACACCACTGATTAAGCGTATACTGGCGTCGCTTCGTCACACCATGTCGTTCATATAACTGTTACTAGTGCACGAAGCTGCATGCATGTCAAGTTGCATACAGAGGGCCAGTTTAGTTGAGTCGTAGGTTGAAATGAAGATTGCAAAACGATTTGTGGTCCATACGTCGGCTAGGTTGTAAACTGACGCACGATGTAAACGCCGTGACAAGGCCAATCTGTACACACCTACACAAGCCTTTTGTCCTGTATCATCATTCCCTGTACTCTAGTGCAGTGCATGACACCATACTGTACAACATGTGCAACAAATGACGACCTTGGTTTAGTTTTGTGTTTGCAGGGATACATACGACCCTTAGTCGCGCCTCTCTCGCGACGCCAGGTCGACCTAGAGGACGGCGAGGGACTGCGACCGCATACGTGCAGGAATCAAGCGATTCGAGTTTACGTTGGTGGAGCTGTTTCAGGTCATGGGGTCGCCCTCAGCTTCGACACGCCGAGCGGATCGCTGCTGCATCAAATGCCGCGCGGCCACTCTATTTTCTGCACGGTCAAATGCGCGTTGGGCTCGCTCCTGGTCCGAGGGGGGGCACGCGTTTCGAGGCGACGTGCGTGGAACAGTTCCACCCGCGCTTCATGTCGGTGGCATTGATGGCAGGGGCGTGATGCATGGTGTGCGGAAAAACGTAAATACAAAAATGAAGCTGTCTGAAATTGATAAAGCGCGTAGTATTATATTGTGGAGTGCTTGCTGTGTCACGTAGGCCGTAGGAAATGGCTTGGTGGATCTGAGGACGGTTAACGCAGGCCTGGGGGGGGCATGAGGAGTCATGTGCCTCTTGGCTCGGTGGTGACCAAGTGCCATCAAAGTGATATACCACCTGGTACATCTGACCTTATGTTGTCATACGAATGATTGGGTAATATTAATAATAGTAACGTTATATTGTTTTATCCACAGCTTTATGACACAATCATCACATGATGGTACTAGTACAAAATGTACTTACTTGAATATCGAAGATCGTCGTCATGGCGGTTCGGCGTGCATTGCACACCTGTTGAAGCGTATGCTAGCGCTGAATAGGTTGACCGGTGGCTTGTGAAGCGACCTCCGGAGTACCATCTGGTGGCAGATGTGTGTCGACATGGTCCAGCGGACGAGGGTTTCCGAAGGGTAATGTGGAAATGTTATAAATCCATCTCGTATCCTCCACTTATCGATCGATGCACACTTCGCAAACCCTGGTGTACACTGCACTACTAACGTTAGTACTTGTTATTTTAATTCCATCGGGCGTGTCACGTGCATATTGTCCAAGTACACATCGGCCACACAATCTTGCTACAAACTCGATCAATCGTTTCAATCCATTTAGAATCAAACGTACGTCCAGGTTTTCAGCTTTCAACGACGCGCCGTGTTGGCGCAAAATCTCCAAGATGCGACTGTGGCTGCGCCGAGCCGCTTTGTGGCTTGGAGTCTCATGCTGGAGGAATCACAATTGAGAGATATCCACTGTGAGCATCCAGAAAACAAACGTACGCTTGTATCTCGGGCTTCCACCGAAATCAATCGCTTGGCAAGGAGAAACTCGAGGCACTCCTCTGCAGCCACTTCGGCCGCCGTGTGCAGCAACGTGTACCCCTTCGATCGCCAGATTCAATCCAAATCAATTGATCATATCGTGTTGGATTGGCGAAATGTCATACATTCTTGGCTGCCACGGCCAGGTTGGCGCGGTGATCCTGCAGAAGGCGAAGCATGTCAATGTTATTCACTTGCACGGCAAAGTGGGCAGGCGTGTAGCCCTACACCACAACCGCATGAGCCCATCGATGAACCACCATACAAATATATGAGTGTTTGTGTACGAACCAGTCGATCGTCCTGTGTGTCTAACCTATCAGCCGCACAGAAACGCACATTCATGACGACTTTGCACTTCAACATCGACATTGTACTTGACACTGTGGGAAGCAAACAAATTGATCAACGCCGTGTGGTTGTACACAGCGGCAGCGGTCACGGCACTCCACCCCTGATTCAAAGGTTGGGACGATCGTGCACTCAACTTCGCGTCGTACCTTGTTGTTGAACACCCACGGGTCCCCCTTGATTCCAAGCAGCACCGTCACCACTTGGGCCCGACCGTGAATCGCAGCCAGAGTCATCATTGTCTCCCCCTGCCATGTACTAGTAGTACCCATATCACTGATTGTCAAATCCTTTACATACAAACGTGTCTTTGCTGTTGATTGTTTGCGGCAACGAGTACGAAATCATGAGCGGTCGTTGACCCACCCAATTTGGCCCGGCGGCACAAGCCTCGTAAAACGGCGCCCAAAACCGCTCGTCGATGGCTGGAAACCGAGACACGAACGAGCTTTCGATGCCCCCGTCCACGGTCAGACTTTGCGCCGCACGAAACCGCCGCTTCCGCGCGGCCAGCGCTTCGGCTTCAGTGTCCACGGGACGAGACTTAATGGCAGCAGGTTGGTGCATCGAGGGACGACTCATGTGAAGGCAAAGCGATTACCGTCCGTCAGCTTGCCCGTTGGATCTATTTATAGCGTCGATAAGATTGACGGGCCAATGAAAACGCAGGCCGTTACTTGCGTAGTTTTTTGTTGCCAATAACGAACGACCTGAAAGTACCTGAGCAACAATCGGATTTGGGACGTATCAAGCCATGGCCTTGCGAGCAGCCCCGCTGTCGAGTTCCCGCCACAGCAACCAGAAAGGATTCTTCAAGGACGAAGCGGCCACCAAGGCGCTCCCTGCCCTGGACCACAGTCGTTCAGGTTCAACCAACAAGCAGACACTGAAACCAGGTACTGTCGGCCACAAGTAGAAATGGGGTGTTGAGGAAGCATAGCGTGGGTAGCGTCAGCGACGACTGCGTCCGAACAAGGGGAGAATCAAGTGATCCCGTTCTCGTTCGACGAAGACGACGATGAGCGCGACGGGGTGGAGGCGAAGGGCGGGGCAACTCCCAGTGACAGCGAATTTGACAACGATAGCGGAAGCGACAGCGAGTGCCAGGTGCGTTGGAGTATATAATCCTATGCAACGATGATTGGAGCTTACAAGAGAACTAGGATGACGCGAAGCATGTGAGCGTGGCGTGCTCCGAGTGGCTCCACGCAGCGTCGAAAGACGACGCTCGAGAAGAAACCGACTCGTCCGACGCCAAGTCCAAGGACCAGCCCAACAACTCGACGAGTCGGGACGCTAGTGCGTCGTCCATTGCCCCCCCCAAGTCCAAGTCGCAACTTGCGGCGTTGGACACGAAATCGCTGGAGTCAGCGGCAGGATGCAATCAGAGTGCCGACGTCGAGTTCAGTCCGTTACACGCTCCTCTCGGCTCCATGTTGACAGAGGTGAGCACTTAGCCAGACCAGGATGAACACTCATGTCGTGGCTAGGGTTCCATCGTTCGCTGCAACAATGGCGCCAACAAATTTGCCCCGCAGTACCAGTTTTTCCTCAAAGTACATTGAACACATGCGTACGAGCCACGCTCTGACACGTTTTGTAGAACAAATTGGTGCTTTTGGCCGAGAAACAACTCCACAATCGCACGTCCAACTACCACATTTTCGACATGTCCCGCGGGGGCTGCACCGGGCAAAAGCTGACCAAGAAGAGCGGCAACTACGTTGGCAAGTTGCGGTCGAATTTCGGCAAGCACGAAAATGTCATGGTGAGCGCGCAGGCCGAGCGCAGTGAACTCGGTGCGATCTTATTCGAGGCCAAGGTATCGAGCACCAAGGTAGACAGACAGATATGCGACTTTGCACTTGATTCACACCCTTGGGATGGTAGCCGCGCAAGTTGACTGTGGTGTGTCCGCCCTTGTCGAGCCAAAATGAAGTTATTTCCCAGGGAGCCAAGCCCGACACGTTTAGTACGCTCTTGGACCAGCACAAGGCGGATAAGCGCGTGACGGAACTCCTGACAGTGCTCGAGAACAAAGAGCCCGAGTACGAAAAGGGCTGCTACCGCCTCAACTTCAACGGCCGCGTGTCCATTCCGTCGGTCAAGAACTTTCAACTGGTCGTGCGGGGCCATGCCGCCAAGGGCATCGTGCTGCAGTTTGGAAAGGTCTCTGACAAACTGTTCCACCTCGACTTCAAGCACCCGCTCACGCCGTTCCAAGCGTTTGCCATTGCCTTGTCTCAGTTCAATTATTGATCGCATATGCTCCCGCCTAAGCAAGCATAGTGAAACCATTACAATTCGTTACTCTCAATGTAGCTTTCACGTGAGAATACTGTACCGAAGGTATACACTACATTCCACTATGAACTGTAAAAGTATACGGTACAGTTTGCTGCTGGTACTTAGCGTAGTGAAGACTGACCGCCGTGCGACGGGTTCACCTATCTCGTAACCAACATGTTTGATGCTGTTCAGTTTAATGTAACCGCCCTAAGGTGTGGAATTGTGAAACTGCCACTGTGGTCAAAATACATATTTTTTATCGTTGACGATTCATGAGATACAATTATATGTAGTATTTTATTGTTAGTTTGTAACGACAAATATATTTCTCTTTGGAGAATTTGGCGTTTTGGTTCTATTTTTACTTCGTGCAACTTCAATCACAGACGACGTGGCGCGAGGCAACGCCTCGTATGGTCCTCCGCAAGAAGCATGTGGGTGGTGCCAAACCTACCGCCATGGGGAAAAAGGATGCAGAGCCATCAAGCGACCCGAACCAGGAGACCGGCCTGTCCCTGGACGAGTACTTTAACAGCAAGAAGGAGTACACGGTGCAAACGATGAAGGAAACGTCGGAACTGCTAGAGAAAAAGGAGGCCACCAAGCTCAAACATGACAACGCCATGGTCATGACAAAGGACGACGATGACGACCACATGATGGAGTCCGTGGACACGATTCCCATCTGCCCCATGCATGGCGGGTCGAACGATGCCGACACGGAAGAAGATCCATACGAAGACGACTACGAATCCGACTCTGGAGCAAAGGACGACACAAGTGCTGGTGTAGCAGGACTATCGTTAAGCGACTACTTGACCGGCAAATCCTTGCCGCCAAAGGACAAAGCAAGCAGCAAAAAGCCACCGACCAAGAAGCAGCCCGCGGTGGTGGACGAAAACGAGATCGAAGGCATGTCGCTCGAGAGTTATCTGGGCGCTGTCCCATCCAGCATGCACAACGACGACGACAAGAAGAAGAAGAAGGGAACCGCAGCCGTCAAAGCAGGAGTTGGAGCTCAAGCCAGCAAGCTCGGGCTCGCTCGACATCACGACCACAACTTTGCAATAAAAAAAAGGGTATCGGCGCCGAATGTCAAGAAAGCCACCGATCCCGTTCCCGCCAAGAAGTTTGTGAGCGACTCGGACGTGCTGCATTTCAAGCGAGACAAGTCCCAGATGGACAAAGCGGCCAACAAATCGAAAGGATCATCGACTAAGGCATTATCGCATCACACCAAAGGCTTCCACGCAGCCATGTCGAGTCGGCGGAAGGACATTGGAGTCCAAGCGGCAGACGCCGACGGCGACGATCACGGGGACATGACGCTGTTTCATCCCCTCCCCATGCTGGGCGGCAACAAGTCCGGGGCCCCCGACCACGCCGACGACTCGATCTCCGAGGACGAGCTAGACGTGTCCCGGCTACCTCCGTTGCCCCACTAGCAGTGCGTTGACTACTACCATCCAAATAGCAAAACTCGATAGTGTAAACGGAATCACTTGTTTATTTGTGGGTTGCGACCAGCGCGACCGCAGCGCCAATGGCGCCACCCACGATCCCAGCAGCCAACAACGCATTGCGCTGCGTCTTTTCCAGCGTCTCCAACCGCAATGCAAACGCATTCGTAGACTTGGCGGCGTACTTGCCAATGACGTCGCCCTACCCACCACCAGTACGACGACTAGATCGAGACCAACGGCAGAGTACCTCCAAGTTGACGAGGTCTCCCACGGATTTGGTCGGCAACACGATGCTTTGCTGGGTGTGCGTGATCAGCATCACGTTGAACCAGCCTTGTCGGCTGTTCACCTACGAACGGCTTGAAGTACCTGCAGGAATGGGATGGATGGATGGGGTATGTCCTACCTCGCACACCGTCAGGCTCGTGCCATCGATGGCAATGAACCCCTTGGGCACGACATGCGCCAACAGCGATGGCTCTGCTTGGATTTTCACCCACAGAGACTCGCCTTCCTTGGTCAATTCCTGTCCATCCATGTACATCGTCAGCGATTATTTGATGGGATGGAGGACCAAGTGTACCAGGATCTTTCCCGTGCCATCGACATGTCCTTGTACGAAATGGCCGCTGTTCCGGTCCTGCGCCCCCATCGCGCGCTCCACGTTGACCTTGTCGCCGGCCTCCAACACACGCAAGTTCGTCAATCGCAACCTACAACACGCGTGAGACACAGTGTGGCTGCTGCCAAGCAAGGGACGCTACGTTTCTGGCGCACAGCCAAACGATACGTGGCCAGTGTCGCGGTCGATATCGGTGGCCGTGAGGCACGTGCCGTTGATGGCAATGCTACAGCCAATGTACGCGCCATCCAACGCAACTTCCAAGCGAACGACCAAGACCGTGCCCTTTGCGACACTGCCGTCCCACATCTGCATGTCATCCTTCTCGACGCGAGACACCACGGTCCCGATCTCTTCAATAATCCCGGTGAACATGCTCTTGGGCCGAGGAACGCCAACGACGTTGACAGAATGATGGTCAATCATTTCTCTATATATTGGCATTGAGTATGAACATACAAATGACAAGCCAAAACAAAGTAGTTACGTGGATTAACAGTAAAGGAGGCATTTGACACCTGTGCACTTTCACTAAAGTGGTCGCAACAGCGGTGTGCACTCTGTCGGAGTACCCATCACGCCGAGCTGTCTTCTTCTCAAGGATAGACGTCGTCGCGCGCGATTGGCCATGACACGGAATTTGACGAACGCTCGCTGCACGCCGGCAGCTCGGCAGCGCTCGCGGCGTGTCTCCGTGTCTGCGCGTCTCAAATGCATGTCGACGCGGTCGGATTCGTCGTAAAAGTCGTCTTGGATGAGCTCTTCCAACACATCTTCGTTGGTCACGACGCCGTGAAAAGCAGCCATATTGGGATCGATGGGAACGTCGTTGTCCCAGCACGCTTGGACATATGCTGCATTCGGCGACAGCAAGGCAAAGTGCCCCTTTTCACGCTGAAACTGCTTTAACATGGCGTAGCAGGAATGGGTCGGTGGCACAACGTGGGGTTTGTGTAGCACGTGATCCCGTAGCCGTTTGTTGTCCCAATGAGTCGTTTGACTAGGAGAATGCCCCGGATGTTGCTGCGATGGCCACAGAAGACTGGAATCCGGCTGTATCCACTGGCCACGATCTCTTCCATGAGGGCTTTGTCCAGCAACCGCTCGTCATTCACCATGTACACTTGGTCGAAGGGCGTCATGATCGCTTCGACTTTTTTCAACGACATGCCGAGGGCGCTGTTGATGATTGTGACTTCGTCGTCCAGCAAGTCGGTGCTACGAATCGAGGACGACCTCGAATCCCACGTGGGCAGCACCGCCCCCGTCTCCCCAGTTGGCGACGGAGACTGGTGTGGATGCTGCTGCAGAGAAATGAGCGCCTTCAACTCGTTGCGTCGAAACCGCACCATGCCGTTGGTGTCCCCCATCCACAAATCCAAACCTTTAGCAATGGGGTACGACAGCGGGGCTGTGGCCGCCATCACAAGGTGGCACAAAGGCGCGAGTTTGGCGGCAATGGTCATTTGATGCTTCCCCGTGAAGATGGCGGACGGCAGTATCTCACCAAAGAACAGCACGAACGTGACCGAGACAACGATCGCCGTTCCCTCCGGCATAAGTCGATTCAGCCAGATGGGAAGGGCCTCCAAACCAAGGTAGTTTAACAACAAGATGGACACCAACACGCGGTGCCCTTGGTTCAGCAGCGGAAGCACCTTCCTCGCTTGGGATTTCTCCTCTTCCGTTCCTTCCATCGTCATGATCATCACGCCGAGCTTGTCCAGAGACATGTAGCCCATGAGCATACCGCCAAGATCCCTGACACGGCAACCATGGCTACTATGGACGCAATGCATGCCCAGAACTGCCAGGGGTTGCAAGCGGGGTGGTAGTATTCGTACGTTGAGCAATCCACAGGCCAGGTATGGATGATCTGGACAAAGGCCGTCAACGACATCGCGATTTAGAAATTGCCATCATGTTTGTGAAACCGCCCAGCGGATAAAAAGTACAATTCGTACTACAGAACCATTCAGAAAAGTGTGTCCTTGCTGTCGTTGGTGGTGGCACGATTGCTTTGGAAACCTTTGCAGATGCTCGTATCATACACGTCCCCAATGCCGACGTCAACTCAACTGCGACAGTTGATGCCCTGAAAACTGAACCGTTTCAGGAGGAAGGAGCTGTAAACTGTACACTGTACGTACAGTATAATTGTCATAATTTTAAAGTCAAAATGGCAGTAAAAGTGATAAGCTCACTGATTGGCTCAATTATTCAAAGTAAATCCCGTATGTTCGAAGAAGCCGATTGGATTGGCTCGTTTGTCGCTGTGGTAATTTACGGCTGCCCCTGACGTCTCACACTTTTCAACCTGGGTGAAATGCTGCACCAGCTTGGTCGTCGAGCGTACTCGTCGCGCGTCGCGAGCTACCCCAGCTACGTCAAAATCGTAGAAGTCGGACCTCGCGATGGCCTGCAGGTACTCTCCATGCTGATATGACTCTCGTGAATTGACATGGCCTTTCAGAACGAGAAAACGTTGGTCTCCACAGCCGACAAAGTGGCGCTTATCAACTTGCTGTCCGAGGCTGGACTACCTGTCGTAGAGGCCACGTCTTTCGTCTCACCCAAGTGGGTGCCTCAAGTACGACACGTCGCGATTTCTTTCGCCGTATCTTCATTATCGTTCTAGATGGGCGACAACGCCGACGTAATGAAGCAGATCAAGCGCAAGGAAGGCGTGTTTTACCCCGTGTTGACTCCCAACCTCACGGTACAGTGCCGCGAGCACCACCTCTCTCTCTCTCCGCCACGTCTTACCTTCGTTGCTCTAGGGATTCGACGCTGCCATTAAGGTCAACGCGCACGAAGTTGCCATCTTTGGCGCCGCGTCCGAGTCGTTCTCGCGCAAGAACATCAACTGTTCGATTCAAGAAAGCCTCGAGCGATTCCACCCTGTGTGTGAAAAGGCGCACTCGTTGGGCGTTCGAGTCCGAGGGTACGTGTCGTGCGTCCTCGGGTGTCCTTACGAAGGCGCCATCGACCCCGCCGTCGTGGCCAACGTTGCCAAGACGCTGCTAGACATGGGCTGCTATGAGATCTCCCTTGGAGATACCATTGGCATCGGAACCCCAGGTACACAATTCAGCCCCCATCATACGACCCATTCACAGAGAGCATCTCGTGCAGGGTCTACATTGAAAATGCTGCAAGCAACCAAGGACGTGGTGCCCGTGGAGAAGCTGGCGGTGCACTTTCACGATACATATGGCCAAGCGCTGGCAAACATTCTCGTGGCGCTTCAAGTAGGGGAGGTTCAATATGCAATGGGAAGTTGACACTGAATGTAGGAAGGCGTGAGTGTGGTCGACAGCGCCGTCGCCGGCTTGGGCGGATGTCCTTATGCCAAGGGAGCGTCGGGCAACGTGGCGACGGAGGATGTCGTGTACATGCTGCACGGTCTTGGCATCCGGACGGGGGTAGACTTGACCAAGGTCGTTGCTGCCGGGGACTTTATCTCGTCGGTGCTGGGCAAGGCCACCAACTCGCGCGTGGCGCGTGCATTGCAAAAGCCCTCCAAGCTTTGAAGGTGGCTCCCACTGACAGGAGGAGCGACCGTGTTGCTGTGGCTGCTGCTGTCAGTGGTCGTTCGCGTAAGCACATAACAAGAGTGAAATGTCGTTTTGTATGGGATCAGCGCCATCGTTGGCTGTTAAATCATCACGAATGGACGTGTGTCTCTTGATGTGTCCTTGCAATCCAACCCCACAAGCATGCAATCATGTTTGCCATCCCCCAGCGACTGCATTCTGTACGTAGCGCTGACGACGGACGATGCTGTTCCTGTCCACAGGCGATCGGCACATTTCGTCTCTACCCCAAATGCATCCACATGGCAGAGAGAGTACTAGTGGCTTATATCCTAGCCCCTGGTGTTGGCACGTCATATTGACTTCATCTTGTCGTTTACATTGTAGAAGCTATTGTTCACGGTAATGGACGCGCACTTCCCTCGCTTGTACATGAACGGGTTTGCCAAACTGGACGCCTTTTTCCAACCATGCACGAAGGCAAAGTCCGATGCCTCGTACTTCTCTTCGAATACGTACTCTTGTATGCTTGATAAGGAATGATCATCTTGAGCGTACTCTCTCCATACAAAACGATGGATGGGTTGAGTTGATCTGTGAGTCGTGGAAATTGTTGTCATGTCGTAGCTGCTGCTGTTTCCCGAGGAAGCCAAGACGGTGCTGCACCTGTCGTCGCCTCTGCTGCACCTCCCTCGTCGAAAAGATTTATTGTCGTGGTTATAGAATACACATAGGCCAACGATCTACTTTCAATGGACAGGATACTGTATGCGGCAGTGATCTATGATGGATGTACAGACATACACAATGTTAGCTCGGAAATTGGGTGTTCGACTGACGTTGACGTCATTACTTGGGAAATGTGCTGAATGCTGGTAGTTTATGGCCTCAAGGGCTCACACCGCAGCGTATCACTTTTGTAAGAACTATGCATTAACAGTAGTACTATGAAAAATACATATCATGGCGTGGCCACGCAAGTGGAGCTAGGCGGTTGCCACCCCTTGACTTGGGGTGTCAACGTTGGACGACATCGCCCAAGTGTAAATCCACTGCATCAGTCCACAGACCGAGCAGAGCATCGACTTCACAACAGCCAAAGACCGCCTTGGGCACGCACGTTGCTACTGAACGCAGTGCACACCACGCCTTGGTCACGCACGCAGCCAGGTATTAGCCCAATGCACCTAGTGACCACCACGGGGCCTGCGCTGCATTGCATAACGAATCTTCGTCAACCACCGACTTCGGGGCCAATGCAATGGGGACAACAGGAGCCACTGTAGCCGCTGCATACGTAGCCTCGTTTCCCTCGTGGCGGGTGGTCGGCGCTGAACGCAACTGACGTCATAGCGGAAGTCGCCCCTGAGGTAGGGCCACAGACGTGGCTGACACTTGCTTCTTGAGAAGCGCCATCGTGAGCTGAGCCAACCCGACGGGTGTTCTACGATGATCAAGGGTCGTTGGGGCAGCGGCAGAATCTCTGCGAATTGTTCCATGCGCTCGCTCCTGTCCAGGCAACGACATGGTAGACTGGACCGTACCATGCCTCGGCAAACGCGCACAACGATTGGCGGGCCAACAAGCGAACGAAACCTTTTGGGTCTTCAATGGCGCCAGTGAGGAGGAGCAACAGATCGTCGCAGTGCTCAGCCAGTTCCGGCTTGGGCCATACTGTGACGACCGTCGTCACCTGCTGCACGATGAGGCGTCGAGCCTCACCTACCCATGGGGTGAGCAGTGCACATATAAAGGTGAAGTCACGTACAGGTACACAAGGATCTTGATATCGTATTTCGACACGCTGGTGATCTTTGAGAGGCAGTCTTTGCCAGCTTGACGAAAGACTTGGGCTTTGTTGAGCGCTGTGCTCACTAACGATGGGAGCACGACGTTGGCAAACGACAGGTACGATTCCTCTCCTCACGGCAAACTGTGCCTGCACGCCTGCTTCACCACCTCGGAGCGGTCGGAAGCGATTAGCTTTGTGATGGGTGCCTACGCATCAAACATAGCCTACGCATCAAGTATCGTCAGGAAGTGAAAGGACCCCGTTGCGACGACATACGTACGGCCACGGGCAAGAAGCAAGAGGCAACGCTTGCCTAGGAGTCGACGTCATGAACGTTGTTGTCAACAGTGTCCAGCACGCGCTGCACGCCGGCCAACTTTTGCAGTTGCAGTCGCAGTCTCCAAGAGTCCGGCCCTTGCAGCAGCGCGTGGAGGATGCGTCTACAGTATTCAACGGACGTGAGAGGTCGTGACGAGAGGAGTCGTATCTGAGTTTGAAGCTGGTTTAGGAGGACCTCCATAGCTCATGCCAAACTTGGCTTTATGAAGCAGTTATGTCTTCGTGCAGGTTGACACCGAGCACCTTGGCGACTTGGATCATGTCCTTGTCACAGCTGCGGTCATCATGAGCCCGTTTCAGGTTTTTGCTGACGTGAGAACGTTATCCGGAATTGCGGATAAAATATGGCGGTTGCCAGCCATCTCGTCCGTCGTCCGATCACGTCATCCATGATGAACTTCATCCTCCTCGCATGATGTATACCATAGTAACCCCGTGTTCCACTGGAAGTTCCGCGACAAGCAAATTAACACGATGCTGGCTGCCGGTATGCAATCGCGACCTTCATGGGCCTGCGGACGTTGTGTGCCCACTCAACAGTGCTGCATCGAGGAACGTCGCGACGTCGGGATCGACCTGTCTGGCGTCCATGGTCTGCGCGCGGACTTCATCCGGACAGCAACTACCAGGTACGGCACTGGGCAGAATTCCGAATCAAAGGTCTGATACATCGGTCTTGTAACTTATAAGAGCAATCTTGTACAGATTGAAGTAGCATGCATGGTAAACATGTGAACAGTCCTTGCGCAATCTGTAGCACTTCGCTCCAACTTCAATTTACCTTTGACAGATTTATGCTGATTAGTGTGGCGTTTGATTGGTGCGTTTCGTCGTGGATGGAGCGAATCGATTGGCTGTGCTCAAATTCATGCCATTCACAGTCAACGACCTGCCAAGGAACGAACGATGCCAGTGGGGGCGAAGGACGCACTGCTGCTGTGCGCAGCCGGCGTGGCCCTGGCGCGGCTGCTCTCATGGAAGTGGAAGACATCGAATGAATGTGTATGTGTGTGGTGCAAGCGGAAGTCCCCAAAGCGAATCATCTTAGTTCGCCATGGGCAATCCGAAGGCAACGAAAACCCAGACCTGTATCGAGTGACGCCTGACAACGCGATGCACATGACCGGGCTCGGAAGGCTCCAGGCCAGGGCAGCAGGGAAGTGCATGAAGGAAATCATCGGGAACGAATCCGTGGTACGGTTGGTCCGTGCGTTGCGATTGCTCTGGATCGCTGAGCATGCATGTTGTTGATAGAGGTGCATCGTGTCTCCATGCGTTCGAACCATCGAAACGTTTGAAGAGATTTTGAGCGCGTGGGGCGAAGATGCCCACCACATTCCATGGACCGAAGAGCCGCGCATCCGAGAGCAGGACTTTGGTAACTTTCAAGACCCGGAGCAGATTCGCCAGTGCAAATCGCAGCGCCGCAAGTTTGGCAGCTTCTTTTATCGATTTCCCAGTGGCGAATCTCCTGCTGGTACATACTTCTTCGTACTGTACTCACTCATCTTGACCGACTCGTGTGATCTTAGACGTGTTCGACCGCATTTCGTCGTTCTTGGAATCCCTCCATCGCATGTTCGCGCGACATCCGCAGCAAAACTACATCTTGGTCACCCATGGCGTGACCATCCGCGTGCTGCTCATGCGTTACTTTAAGCTCCCCATCAGCCACTTTGACCAAATGGAGAACTTCCACAACGCAGAGTTCATCGTGCTCGAGCATGTCGGGTGCAGCAGCTCGTTCAAGATGGTCAAACTCGTCCACGCCAACGTCAACCCCGACACGAAAGAGGCCGCTCCGGTCGTGTCTCCCTGTCTCCGTCTGCGGGACTGTGGCGCCGTCACGCAGTCCAAGTACGCGTCGTCGTTTGAAAAGGAAGCGTTGTACTAACAGTAGAGATGTTTTATTGGTGGAAAAGTGCAAAATTAAAGAAATTAGCCAATGAATTTAGAGAATTTGGTTTAATTATATCCAATCGTATCAAAGTTCCAAACGCAATTCAAACGAGCGAGCGATGGCGCTGCCCTTGGACAAACTCGGGGGCATGCTGATTCGCGCACTGACCAAACCGCTTGTGGGCGAGATGAAGACCTTGTCCAAGTCGCACCCGTGGATGCAACAGACCTGTGAACGCATTGGTCAGCGCGTCAACCGGTGGAGTCTTGAGAGTGTCCTCGCGATGCGGCTTGGTGGCAATGCGACCATCACGGTCAAGGAACTTCCTGCCGACCAAGCGTTCAAAAAGGGAGCTGAGATCCTCGGCGAGACCTTCATCTTCCTTGTGGCTGTGGCTGTGCTGACCGTCGACTACACTCGAATGTCAGCAAAGTCCGCCCTCAAGGACAAGGCCGAGGTCGAGAGGAATTACGACGAGTTTCTTGAGATGGAAGCGAGGTTCCGGCTTCTGGAAACGTCCATGCATCGACTAGAGCGTGTCCAAGCCGAACTCCACGCCACCCTCGACAACCTCTCATGGGAATACCACAAGGACCTCAACGACAAGTAACATATCCATCGATCATTCCATGACAACACACACAAGGAGGAACATGCACCCCGTCCAAGTCGTGACAAAGTCATCGCGACGAGCTCTACATATGTGCACAAGGCCGCTTCTTGGAAGGACTAGATGGTTTGAATCGTGGCTGATACTAGTACATATTACGGTCGGTCGTTTGAAATCAAACCAAGAGACGGCGTAATCTATTCATCCATGACGTTATCATGACGTTGTCCATGCCGTCATCCGTGCAACGTCTGCAGCGTCACGCCTTTAAAAAACGGGTGCTGCAGCGCATCTGCGGCCGTCACGCGCTCCGTCGGGTCCATCGCGAGCATGCGCGTGAGCAGGTCCAGCAGCTCGTGCGCGCCGTCGTCGTCGTCGCCGCCTCCGTCGATGATCTCTTCCAGCGATTTCATCTTGCGCACGTGGTCCACACTCTCACGGGTCGCCGCGCCCTGGGGCCAACACAGCGCCCCGTGGTCGGTAAAGTACTTTTGCGCTTGGCGGTCGGCGCGCGCGACCATGTCTGCCGGAAACGACCCGATGCACTTTTCAATCAGCGCCAAGTGTTCGAGGTTTTCATGCTAACGTCACATCATATATATCATCACATCGAATCAATATATAGAGCCGGCATGTGACGTGGCTTGCGCACCGTCACAAACAGCAATTCGCCAATGTAGAGCTCGGCAATGATGCACGCCGCCGACCAAATGTCCGACGGGAAGCTCCACCCGACGCCGAGCATCACCTCGGGCGACCGATATTGTCTCGTGTTGATGATTCCGCTCTTGGACTCGTCGTCGTACGTGGCGCCCCCAAAGTCAATCACTACACGTCATAGGATGATCATGGGATGATCACGTCATAGGATGATCACGTCATATGACGATCACGTCATAGGATGATCACGTCATAGGATGATCACGTCATAGGATGATCACGTCATAGGATCGCGGACAAGATGACGTACGTTTGACTTGGTCGTGGAGAGGGGGGACGAGGTAGCCCTTGCGCTGGCACGCTTTCGCGCGGTCGCCGGCACAGGCCGCGTCACGAACGAGCAGAATGTTCTCTGGTTTCAAATCCGTGTGGATGAGCTTGATGTGATGGAGGAATTTCTACATATATATAGGTGTGTTGATATCAGGACGCGGCGTCGTCGAACGAGGTGGCCGCCGTGGCTTACCAACGACGTGAGCAACTGCCACGCATATGCGCGGATCGAGTCGAGGGGAAACGGCTTGTAGTCTTGTTGCTTGAGATAGTCGTACAGCGACCCCCCCAGTTGCTCAAACACGAGGATCACATGGCCTTGAAACTCAAACCTGCACCACACAACGCCCCGTCACAGTAGTCGTGCGATGATGGCAAGTGGGGATATCGTACCATCGATGCATGCGCACGCACAGCGAGTCGCCGCGCACGTCCTTGTCGTTGACGTGCTTGAGGATGTTGGCTTCGATCTTGGCCGACTCCGAGTACTTCTCCACCTTGCGCACGACCTTGAGCGCGACAATGTCGTCCTTGTTCTTGGAGAGGAGGTCCTTGCAAAGCACCACGCGACCGAACGTCCCCAGTCCGGCATCCCGAAGGATCTCGTACCGCTTGTCGATCACGTCGCCGGGCACCCCCTCGTAGCTCCCGATCGTGTCGTCGTGGGACGCACTGTCATCGCTCAAGTCCTTCGTCTTGTCCACCTTGTTGCTCTTGTGCGGTGCTGTATGCTGGTAGTCATACCCGCCGCGTTCCATGCTGACACTGCTGCGACCATCCCGTTTCGTGCGACGAGAACGACGATACGTCTCACGGGACATGGACCGTTCGCGATTGCGGCGGTGGCTGCGTCGGTTGCTGCGACTGCGACCTCCACGTCGAGGGTAGTCATCATGGCGATCAGATGGGTAGTTTCCAGAGTAGTGATGGCGGCGGTCGCGGCCTTCGTGGCGGGAGTTGGTGGGTCGAGTGTAATCTCGGTCGTCTCGAAATCGACGATCGTCACGTGAGGACGGCGCAGGTCCGTAGCGAGACATTTCTCGTCCTCCGGCGGCATCACGATGTCGACTTCGACTGCGATTGCTACGGTAGTCGCTTCGATGGCTTCGATGCATGTCGGCCGGCCTCCTTTGCGACTGCCACGGTGTGATTGAGATGAACGCGTTTGTATTCGACTGGACTTGCGGCAAGCGAAGTTAAAAACATTTCATGCGCAATAAATTGCAAATCTTTCTCCTGGCATACAAACATTCTATGGGATTTAAAACAATACCAAATAAAATGACAAAAAATATATTGGCTTCATTTTTTTTGCTTTCGTGGCGATTTATTGGCATCAACTGTGTAATGAGCAACGCACAGATATGTCATGCCAAACAATCTCAAAGCCGTGAGAGCTCATGCGATCCTTCTAGCGTCTAGGGTGTCATTGAGGATATGATGCTGTAGCTGACAGCATGATCACGGCCACGACGAGTCCAGATATACAACACCACGTAACTCATCAAGAGACCCTTATTCGTTTTCTCGTTACAGTAAGCTGGAATCTAATAGGGACGGTAGCGGCTGTCTCCGCCACCGCGGCCTCCGCCCCCAAAGCGCCCCCCGCCGCCACGGCCACCGCCTCCTCGACCTCCGCGCCCCCCGGGGCCACCGACCCACCCGCCCGCAGGAGGTTCCGGCTTTCCTGCCAGCTCGACTGTGATGGTGTTCCCTCGGATATCCGAGCCTAGAAAATAAGTCAGAACTCTGTCACAACAGCACGTAACGGAAGGGTACCGTTGAAGAAGCCTGGCGCCGTCCGCGCCGCATTCGCATCTTCGAATGTGATCACGGCGTCGCCTTTGAGGGTGCCGTCATCGTTTGTGTAGATTTTGATTTTCCAAGGCTACATACAGGCACATGTGTCAAGAGAAGGTGGTGGCAGCATGCACTAGTCGTCGTACCCATTGATCCTTGTACCCACGCTTTTGCTTCTCCTTGGCAATGACCCCAATGCCACCGAAAATGCTCTGGAGCTCGTCTGTCGTGACGTCGTTGGGCAAGTTGCTAACGTATATGCGGGCCCACGACTCATCTTTCTCCGCTTCAGCCTTCGGGTCCCATGGTCCAGCGGGCTCGGGCGGCGGGTACGCATCGTAGGACGAACCGCCTCCACCGTTGTCCCCGTAGTGGCTGCCGCTGTCTCGAGAATACGACTCGCGACTGGCTCCGACGTCACGATCCCTGCCGCTGTCATGGCCACCGCCCCTGCCACCACGATCGTCACGTCGATCACGGCCACGATCGTCGCGTTCGGCATAACTTCGTCCACCACGGTCACTGGGTGCGTCTCGGTCACTTGGACGGTCACTAAACCGATCGCTGCCACGGCCACTCCTGTCGCGATCGCTGGGTCGTTGGTCTCGATCATCTCGACTACGATCAGAGGACCGATCGTCACGAGGTCGTTCACTGCGATATCGATCGCTAGAGTCTCTGTCGCTCGGCCCTCTGCTTCGGTCATAGCCTCGGTCGTCACGGCGTTCCTGGCTTCGGCCCATGATGATGGAGTTTCGTTTCGAGGTGTTGTCACCACAAACGCCGCGAATTTTTAGGGCCAACGACATCATAAAATCGTTTCCATTCCAAGTATCTTCGTTATTGTATGGAATTGGTTGAACTTGTGAAATTAAATAAATGTCGCCAAGAACCTCTGACAACGAATTCAGCGGGAACCATACTTTTTGCTTCCCCCACCAACCAAGCAAGTTCAGTATTCTTGTCCAGAAGACTTAAGCGTCATGCAACCTATCCTGCTCAAGGGACACTCGCGGTCCATTACGATGATCAAGCACAACCGGGAAGGGGATCTCCTTGTCACGTGCGCCAAGGACCACGTGCCTTCCCTGTGGTACTCGCACAACGGCGAGCGCATTGGCACCTTCCACGGCCACACTGGTGCTGTGTGGGCCTGCGACATCTCATACAACTCGGAATATTTGCTCACGGCGGCCGCCGATGCGTCCGTCAAGCTCTGGGACTTGCAAACGGGCAAGGAAATCTTCAGCTTCACACACACTGGGTCGGCGCGCAGTGTCAACTTCAGCCTCGGCGACAAGTCGTTCGTGTCGGTTGCCGATCAGTTTGGCGATCACCCCGCCACCGTCTTCGTGTACGACTTGGCCCAAAACGGAGAAAAGCGTAAGGACCAGTTGATCGCATGTTGGTTTTGTGTGCTCACGTGGCTGTCGACGTAGAATCCAGCCAACCTCGCTTGGCCATCACCAAACACGGGCACCAAGGCCGGGTCACAGGGGCGTACTGGACGGCGCTTAACGAAGCGATTATTACCACTGGCGAAGACGGCTACGTCAAGTTGTTCAACCCAGAGGTAGGTACCCCAGCAGCACCAAAGTTATCCGTTTTCAAACGATGGTGTGTAGACGGGAGCGTTGATTTCCGAAACCAAGGTGCACAACGGTGTGATTACCAACTTGGCGTTCAACAAGGATAAGACCCTCGGCATCACGTCGTCCAAGGACAATACGGCCAAGTTGATCGACTTGGATGCGATGCAAGTGCTCAAGACGTACGAGACGGACCGCCCCGTGAACTCTGCGAGCATTTCGCCCACGAAGGAGCATGTGGTATTGGGCGGTGGCCAAGAAGCGATGACGGTAACAGTCACGGCGGGCCGCGCGGGGAAGTTCGAAGCGCGTTTCTTTCACCAAGTGTTTGAAGAAGAGTTTGCACGTGTGAAGGGCCACTTCGGACCGATCAACTCGATCACGTTCCACCCCGACGGCAAGAGCTACTCGAGCGGGGCCGAAGACGGTTACGTCAGAATACATCATTTCGACCAAGACTATTTGAGCCGAGAAGACTAAACGAGCACAATAGCAAAGAGCATGCGTGCATGCCATGGACGAGACAGACACGGCAAGCCAGCCAGCCCCCTTTCATCCTCAGCATTTTCGCATTTGGTATAAATCCAAGTAATGAAGATTTCGAATTTTAGCCAATCAGACAACGATAAAGTCCATGTCAGGGCGTTTCATTGCGCAAAATTAGTTCTATTTTGACCAATGATATATCGACGGTTATTTACATGAGAAGGCCTTTTCATCTGGTGATATCGTCTGCAGCAAGAAGGAACAACCATGAGTGTGGTGGGGAAGAACATCGCGGGCACGAGAAGCGCAGACTTCTTTCAGTGGGCAGACAAAGACATCGATGACAAGCTGTTTAATGGCCCCTTCCAGGCCGAGCAGCGCATTCAGCGTGAGATCCGACTCAACTCGCGCAACCTCAAATCTATCTACGAGGTGCCGGACGACATGGACGTGTTCATTTGGCAGTACGAGCACCTGCGCCAAGTGGTGAAGGAACTGAACATCCTCGTGGCATTGCTGGACGGGGCGTGCACGAAGCAGTCGTGTACGATCATGAAGGCCACGGACGACTGGGTATTCCTCTGTGCGGCCCACAAGCAACCGAAGGAGTGCTGTGCGTTCGACTACATCATGCACACGTTGGACAACGCGAACCAGCTATTGACATCATCGCGGATATTCCCGTCTCGCGTGAGCATCAACCGCGACGCGACGCAGTACTTTCAGAGCGTGGCGCGGCGCTTGTACCGCGTCTTCTCGCACACGTTCTTCCATCACCCGGACGTGTTTCAGCATTTCGAAGCCTCCACATTCCTTTGCCATCGGTTCGTGTACTTTTCCATCCAGTTCAACTTGATCCCGAAGAATTTGCTGATCATTCCAGACATGGGATACTAAAATGAATATACCCGTCAACTCTTTCGATATATTGCCAGCGGTGGTTATCGTTCGTTCCTAGCCCTATCTGTAACCCATGGTGGTATGGGGTCGTTAATTCCGGCGGAGGTTGTTCAGACGCGCTTCGAGCTCGCTCACGGCGGAATCGCCCCCTCCACCGGAAGCATCCACTGGTGCAGGAGGAAGCGAGGCTGCATGTGAAGGAGCCGGAGCCGCTACGGCGGTGGGAACTCGGGCCGACGGCGCTTCGAGTAGCGCACCAGACATGTCGATCCCGATCTCGTCGAGCACTTGCGACACGATCTTGTCCTCCTCTTCTTCGTCCTGGTCGGCGTCCATAACGTCGTCGATGGTGTCCCCGAGCATTTCTTGCTGCATCTCCATCTTTTCGCTCTCCTTGGTGTACTCCATCATGATTTTGTTGAGTTTGGGCAGATTCATGGTCTTCGCCATCGACTTCATGACCTTTGTCGTGCCTTGCAGCGCCGACGTCATGGCTTCCGCAGACTTGGCGGTTTCCATTCGCAACGACACTGCTTGTAGTTGCGACCGCATCGTATAAAACTTGGTGATGTGCTGTCTTGTCCTCACCAAATCCTTGGCCATGATCTTCACGGACGCAATCTGGTTTTCCTTCGCCATCTTCTTGATTTCTAGGATCAACTTCTTCTCCGACACTTGCAAGGTCGTGCGTTCGCGGTCGAGGTCGCGGATTGCTCGGTTGATCTCGCGCTTGTTTTCGCGGAGCTGCTCCTTCAACGTCGCCGGCTTGTTCCCCATGACGTCTCGAGGGTGTGTGGGCAAATTTCGCACTGGGCAAACTCCCAACCGAAACAAAAAGTACCATTAAAAAAATTGCTTTGAATTATTCAATGCAAACGTGTAATTTTATAACGGATAGGGTGTCCAACATCTGCCGCAAGCTTCAGAATGTTGGTACATCAGCGTGAAAAGAACGTACAAAGTAACAGAGTTTTGAGCATGACATACGGATATTATATGTCAAAGGGCATGTAGTTCAAGAGGTACCTGTTTGTGGTTCCATATCACAGTCACTTCAACAGGAAATAGAGTGCTCCTGAAATAGTGTGCGTATTTTAATTCAGGGGATCCATCGGACACCATACAGAGTACTAGATAAATGGCAAACAATTGTTTTTAAAACCAAGTCGTTATTATTTTCGGCTCACTGCGCCCACCCTCAAAGAAACACCAAACAACGAAGGATCATGCGCTGTGTGGGACTTCTTGCCTTTGCCGCTACGTCGGTGGTCGCGGCCTTGGACACGACATCTACCTATGTCCCCTTGGCCTTGTGGTCAAACACAGGGTACGCACTCCCTTGAGTAGATCGTGGATGCAAGCGTCCTCATCGGCATTGCATTCTAGGTCATTGGAACATCCTGTGAGCGACATCGCTGGTAAGAACGTGAATGCCGACTATTCGGCGATCCAAGTGTCGAAGACGCTGTCGTTCCTTCAAGATAACGACGCTGGTCTCGAAGACGCTTTGGTTTGTACTTGCATTCTCTGGCCAAATGCACTAAGTCAGTTCCCAATAGGATGCGCACACCCCGTACGAAGTGTTTTATCCACGCGCGAAGGCAGTGGTGCTGTTCGTCCGCGACACCCTTCGTTTGGATGAAATGGAGCATTTCGAAGGCACAGCGTTGGAAGCCATCTATCGCAACGCAACGTCCGCCGTGTCCTACCCCCACACGACCCGTGCGTCGGCGGCCGACACATTGACCGCGGCGCTCGCCCCTCAACATTCGATCACTCTGGAAAACGTCAAGGTAATAATCCTTTTCGTGCGGCCCTGCAGTCTCATGCAACTTACTGTTTCTCCAGGAATTCCTCCATCAAAATACCCCCTTTGGCAAGGCCGGCACGACCGCCTTGGTGATCGTCACTGTGAGCAACTCGCTTCCTTGGAAGGACGTGGCACAGCTGATCCGCACGTCGGTGACGTTGTTCGACCATGCTACGTCGAACCGCGTGATCTACGGCATCACAGGCGACCACACCACGACCCCGCCGTCCCACTTCGCTGGGTTCCACCGCGCGCTCATGAGTGCCGCGTCCGTGGTGGCGCCGTTGGTGTGTCCTCCTGGCTCGTTCCTTAGCACGGCGCAAGACCTGCCGTTCTGCTTTACGCATTACGTGAACATCACGCCTACGATCCTGGCAGCGCTCGTGCTTGGGTTCTTCTTCCTGTCTTGCGTGTACGTGGGGCTGTATGCGTTGGACGGCATCCAAACCCCGTTGAAGTACCCGTCGATTGCTCCTCCCAAAGGAAAGGAGTACTAAATTGGTCGAGTAGTTAGTTGCTTTGTATTTGGACATTGCTACAACGACGACGGGTGTCGAATATATCTCAAATTGCATCGACTTGTGTTCTGGGGTACTCGACGCGAATGACCAACGAGCAGCCGTCGCAGGGCACGATGTCCACCAGGTCCTCGACTTCATCCTCCGTCAGCTACATGGGAACCATCAGGGGGGATTGCGATTGGGTTGATGAGAACATACCACATAATACTCGCCGCATCGGCATCCAAACGTATAGATTTCGTCCTCTAATGTGAACGCTTCCAACAACACGTCGTCCGAGATGCGCAATTCCGACCGAAGTTTCGCCTCTAATCATACACACCATTCACCTTTGGGGAAGCGATGGATGATGGTGCTTGCAACGTGTACCTGCTAGTGTTTGATCGTATCGCCTCCTGGACTCGACATCGCGCAGGACTTGGTAGGCGTCGTGAGCGCTCTGGAAGTCTTCGGTGTCTGCTGTTTTTCCAAGTGTTATTGCCTTGTCTGGGTGGTTCTTCAATGCAGCTGCATGATACGCTCGCTTGAGCTGTTCTGTGGAGCACGTCGGCGACACGCCAAGGGCGTCGTAATAGGATGGCATCGATGAGCTTGCCATGGATGGAGTTGACAGTATATATTGCCAATTATCCGGATTGAAGCGGTTAAACTATAAAACGCGATTGATGCGTGACCCAAAAGTTGAAAAATCTATTCATTCATAACGATTTATGTATTGAACCGTCATATTTTAATCTCAAGAGTAAAAACCGCTGACCTTTTTTATGGTCTATTTCAATCAGTCGAGAAAAGATTCCCTGCGACTTTGACCCAGCAAAATCCCATTTACCAAAAGCACTCGAAGAGAATAATGTCCGGGGTTGCTGCATTAGATGCGCTGGAGCGAGAGTACCAAGCGGTGGTGCGTCAGAAACCCATTAACCCTGTGAACTTGGACTTTGTTCCTGCTCGACCAAAGCCCCCTGCGGATGCCAACGACACGGAAGATGGCGGGATGGAGTACGACGACTTGCAGTCAATCTGCTCGTATGCCGCCACGTGTGACGATGACCTTGAACGCGAACGCTTGAATTCTGACGATGAAGACACGCAAGAGTATGAATACGAGCCCTTGCGTGAAGAAGAGTGGGAGGTCGCCGACGGCATCGAGGAAAAGCCATCAACTGTGAAGGCGCCACAGTCGCCCCCTGTGAACCCAGTAAACTTCAGTGAAAACGACAAGGAAGCCATCAAGAAGGCCATGCAGCAAATTTCGTTGCCTCCTCCATCGTGGGGTGGGCAGTTGTCGGATGCTCAATTGGTCGACCTCGCCAAGGAGGCAACCAATGTGAAAGACGTCGTCATGGAGCCATAACAACACTATGTACATTTCCATGTTAACTCGAGCTTTCTTCAATGCACGCGCTTCGAGGAACGGGAGGTCCAAGCGTGATCTTGAACCGTTGGGTCGCTGGAGGAGCCACCAGGAGGTACGCCATGGCAAAGACTACCATGAGCAAGCACGACGCAGCAGAAAACACTAGTCCTGGCATACCACCGCAGTTCGAATACCCATCCAACACGCCGCGATACCCCAAGGGGCATGGACGAGGATGCTTCTTTTGAAGGTCGTCTGCAATCGAAATCCGCACAATGAGCTTGACCACTGGCTCGGCTATGACCTAAATGCGATATGTGAAAATACCACGGTCAAACAATAATGGAATGTATGTACCATGGTGGCGGTGGTCACAAAGGCCAGCCGTCCGTGAAGGCAGCCGCGGTCGTGGGGACTCACAAGCTGGTGCGCAATGGACCTCAACGCTGGAAACGCGGTCATGTGTAGTGTCCCCAGCCCGAAGATTGGGTACACCTGCCATCCCTGCACAGCCACAGGTTAATCCAGCAAGACGAAGTAGTAATCTTTACAGAAGTCATGAACGCAGAGGCAGCCAACGAAGTTGACTGAAGGACGACGCCCCCGAGGACGAGCTGGCGATTGGTCCAGTGGCGATGCCACAACGCTTTCAGGCCCACAGTCTAGGGCATGATAGTCACGACGAGAAGGGCGGGGGCTAATATATATTACCAAGCAGAATACAATGCAGAACCCTTCAAAGCTGAAAAACACGAGTTGGGACTTGAGTTGCCTGTGTCACCACGAGATATCAAAAGACTTCGGCGAGAAACGAGTGTGTGTACCAGCCGAATCGGTAGTTCATGTAAAAGTACAGGATGACGTGCACCGTGCCACACATGTGCATGCAACATATGACAAGTAAAAGGGAAAGCACTGCAGGCTCACGGCAACATAGTCGGAAGGATGCGCTCCACGCAGAAATCACCGTCAGGCTGGGCTTTCGATGGACATCGTCCAGGGTTTCATACACGTAACGCCGGGTAATGAGGAGGCCAGCGAGATTGATCATCGTAGCTGCTGCGAATGGCATGGCCGAGTGCCTTGTCGATAGGAATCGCCCAATAACCAAACCGGACGTTACCCCGACCCCAAAGGCAGCGTCGACAAGCCCAAAGCAAGGGGTCAGTTGGCCTTTCAGACTGCAGTCACCTGCCATGGCATACCCTACGACATGATGTGTATTGAATACACTGCAAGAAATGGGGGCTCATATGGATAGTATGGTTTTGTACCCATGGCAAAAGTGGCGTTCAATGTCGCGAAGAGGAGGAAGCACCCTTGAAACGCAAACTTGGATGGTACGCACGCCAACGCAAGCATGACAGAGGTGTGGACGATGCAAGCGGCAAGGAACAAGGGTTTGCGGCCGTATCCGTCGGATAGCGCGCCACACAGTGGCGTCAGCCCCACCTGCACGAACATTAAGGTTGCAATTGCACCAACTACACGCGAGGCACTGTTCGTAGACGAGTCGCGATGGATATCATCAAACAGGTCTGGTGCTGAGAAGACCAGCATGCAAGTCCCACAGGAGAGCAGGGACAATACAACCAAGTACGCATGACGTCGAGGCGGAGTGGTCTGTAGCATCGTCGATCCCGTCCGTATCTGTGACACGACACACTCGTGCCCCTTGGTGAGCCAATGGCCTTTCGCAGTAATCAATCGTTTTGTCCAATAAGATCACTACAATTTGCCTATAGTTGACCCCACGAAGTGGCGAAGTTGGCCAATCATCGTGGGAGATTTGTTGTAAGAAATCACATTGCTTACAGCGGCAGCCCATCCATTTCCGAAGTCACCTTCCGCTATGCGCTCTGTGACTTGCAGCACCCCTACGAACATTGCCGTGATCAAGTACTGGGGCAAGGACAATGTCGCCCTGAACACGCCTTTGAACTCTTCTGTGAGCGTGACGTTGAACCAAGACCAGCTCAAGACCGTCACGTCTGTCCTCGCCTCGAAGGACTTCCCTGCCGATCGCATTTGGCTCAACGGTGCCGAACAGAACATCCAAAACAAGCGTATCCAAGTGGTTTTGAAGGAAGTGCGTCGTCTCGCGACCTCCAACGCCGTGGACGCTCACGGCCGTGCGATTGCCAAGGCGGACTGGGACCTCTACAAGCTCCACATTGTATCGATCAACACGTTTCCCACCGCCGCGGGCCTCGCGTCGTCTGCAGCAGGGTACGCATGCTTGGGTACGTTTAAGATGGCCGTCCTACCCTTGGTTGTCGCTAATGCAGACCACAGTGGCGGCCCTCGTGGAACTGTACGCTGCCGAAGAAGAGTACGAAGGCCAATTCTCGGCCATTGCCCGCCAAGGCTCTGGAAGCGCGTGCCGCAGCCTCCACGGTGGCTTCGTGCGCTGGGACAAGGGCGTCAAGGCGGACGGAACCGACAGTCTGGCGATTCAGATCGCCGACGACAAGCACTGGCCCGAGCTAGAAGCAATCATTTGCGTTGTGAACGACAAGGAAAAGGACACGAGCAGCACGGACGGCATGAACACGAGCAAGGACACGTCGGAGCTGCTTGGGTTCCGCGCCCGCGAAGGTAGGAAGGACTCAAGACGAGTTTGTCCAACGAGATGATTGAATTTGTGTGTGTTTTGTGTGAACGTGTAGTCGTGCACAAGCGACTGGCGGCGATCGAAGCCGCGTACAAGGCCAAGGACTTTGAAACGTTTGGCAAGATCACCATGATGGACAGCAACCAGTTCCACGCCACATGTCTGGACACGTACCCGCCCATCTTTTACCTGAACGAGATCTCGCGCAGCATCATCCACCTCGTGCACAAGTACAACCATCACGCGGGCGCCATCCAAGCCGCGTACACGTTTGACGCGGGCCCGAACGCTGTGATTTTCGTCGAGAAGAAGCACACCAAGGACGTGCTGGCGTTGCTCTCGCATTACTTTGACTCTACCACCGAGTGCGTTGTCCCCTCTCACTCGCGTCGGGGCTGGTTGAGTGGGTTGTCTTGACTTTGCCGTTTGTTTGAATAGACCGCTCGAAGTGCGAGGTCCCGTAGACACAACCAACCTCCCACACGTCGACCCGACCTTGTTGGCCTCGATCAAGGCCCAGCCCACCCCCGGCGCCCTCAAGATGCTGTACCACACGACGGTACACACATTCGTGTAGATTGTTTTGACATTGCATGTACAGGTCGGAGACGGGCGTCGCGTGCTCACGGCGGCGGATTCGCTTATTGACATTGCCACGGGGCTGCCCAAGCAAAAAGAAAACTAGACTTGCAACACAAAACAACTGGACGGACGGATGCTGCCCACGCTTGTTCGAGTCAGTCACATCGAGATAACTGCCCAACAAATCCAATATTGTGCTATCGAGTGTTATGTTGAATTCTCGTGATGATGATGAGGGGTGTCCGAAGAATCGGAACCCATAGGTTCTACGAATTACGAGGCTTTACAAGTCCAGCAACAGACGCTCGGGGTCGGCGATCTTGTCGGCAATCGACTTGAGGCACGTCACGGCCTCCCGGCCGTCCACGAGCCGGTGGTCATACGTCAATGCGAGGTACATCATCGGCCGCGCGACGATTTCGCCGTTGGCCAGCACCACCGGGCGCATCTTGGTCGCGTGCATGCCGAGGATCCCCGCCTGGGGGACGTTGATGATGGGCGTGCCCATGAGCGACCCGAACACGCCGCCGTTGGAGATGGTAAAGTTACCGCCGGCCATGTCTTCCATCGTGATTTCGCCGGCGCGCGCCTTCTCGGCCAGCTGTGCCAACGTCTTCTCGATGTCGGCAAAGCTCATCGACTCGGTGTTCTTGAGCACGGGGGTGACGAGGCCCTTGGGGGTCGCCACGGCCACGCTGATGTCGACGAAGTCGCGGTAGATGATCTCAGCGTGCTTGTCGTCGATCGATGCGTTCACGCCTGGGTTTTCCAACAGCGCGGCCGCCGACGCCTTGATGAACGCGCTCATAAAGCCCAGCTTGACGTGGTGCTTCTTTTCGAACGAGTCCTTGTACGTGGACCGCAGCGCCATGAGCTTGGACATGTCCACTTCTTGGAACGTCGTGAGGCTCGCGCTGGTGTTTTGCGACTCCTTCAAGCGCTCGGCAATGCGAAGACGCATGCGGCTCATCTTCTCGCGGGTCGTGCCACGAGGCAAGCTACCGCCCAGCAGAGGCGACGAAATGTTGGTCGCCACAGCAGGGGCTGCCTTGGTTGGCTCGGCTTGCTTCTTTGCCGGGGCGGGGGCTGCGGCGGCGACAGGCGTGGGCGCGACGGGCGTAGCAGGCGCGGCGGCCTTGGTGGCTCCGCTGGCCCCAGGAATCAGCGTGAACAAGGGCGCGCCAATGGTCACGACGTCCTCCACGTTGACCAAACTCTGTTGGATCACACCGGCTTGCGGCGCACGGACGTCGACGCTGACTTTGTCGGTTTCAATGACAAGGACCACGTCGTCGGCTTCGACGTGGTCGCCAGGGCCCTTGGTCCAGCTTACAACCGTGCCTTCAGAGATGGAGTCGCCCATGGACGGCACGTTCACAGTCACCGGAGCAGCGTCGCTGGTCGGGGCGGCGGGGGCCGGCGTCGAGGCAACGGGAGCAGGAGAGGACGCGGCAGGAGCAGAGCCCGACGATGCGCCTTGATCCAATTGAAACAACGGCGCGCCAACATTCACGTTGGCGTCGACGTCGGCCAAATGGGCCGTGATGACGCCAGCGTGAGGGGATCGGACGTCCACGCTGACTTTGTCCGTTTCAATGACCACGACGACATCGTCCGCTTCGACATGATCGCCGACGTTCTTGACCCATTCAACGACTGTGCCTTCCGAAATGGAGTCACCCATGGACGGGACAGGGATGTCCACGGATGCAAACGATCGAATTTGGGCGACGCAAAATTTGGCGCGGCTGTTCAAGCGGATGGAAGTCGCCACGGACGTCGAGTTCGCATGAAACGAGCGGACACCATTGGTCGAGACCGCGGCTTGGCGGTTGCGCAAGGCCAGAGGAAGCTTAATGCGACGTAAGTTGCGTAACATGGTGACGGAAGGCGAGTGATCGAGAGTGATGCGGCAGGTGACTTTGAGGGGTAGGAGTGGGCTTCGAACTACGACCTTTCAACGGACTGATTGGTGGTGCGCTTACTTCGAACTACGCTTTTTCACCCACACCGCCATCGAAAAGCAAATCGGGCGGACAACGTTACCCGCCCAAATATCGGTCATATTATCGCTTTACCCTACATTATTCCTACATTCCACCTATAATATTTTAATATTAATGGTAGGAATGTACTGTAACGTGTTAACGTTAGGAATAATAGGAATAATCGACAGTAGTACTTTTAATGTTAGTACTTTTAATGTTAGTATTAATATTAATATTAGTATTAGTATTAATATTAGTATCAATACTAATATTACTATTAATACTAATATGACGATGCTCTAAAACTACTAACGTTAATATTAATACTTTTTAGTATCAATAATAGTATTAGTATAAATATTAACGTTAGTAGTTTTATTAATATTAATACTATTATAGTATCAATAATAGTATTAATATTAACGTTAGTAGTTTTAGAGCATCGTCATGCAGGTCGTGATTGTTTCGATAAACTCTGCTAACACACTCTGCAATATGCACGTGGGCGGAATACATAGGTCCATGGTTACGTTATGACTGGAAATCCACGTGCATCTTGAAGCTGGTCGTGTCGGTGGCATTGAGTGATGCAGGTGGGGCGTGCGTGACGACGGGCGGAATGATGCGGGACCGCGCGAGCACCGCCTCGACGTCGTCGGGGTTGCGAAGGAGCGCCAAGAGTCCGTTGGTAAAGTCGGCGCGTCCCGAGAGCAGGGTCAACACATCGTGCTCGTCAAAGGACCAATGCATGGTGGCAATCACGACAAGATTTTGTCCAATCTAGACACGAGATTAGTATCGTTGGTTCGGTCGTTCGTTGGGTGAATCGTTCGAACCAACGACGGTTTGAGGCAGTCGGGGCAGTTGGGGAAGAACAAGTTGATGGACTGCCGGTTCATCTTGAGCGTCGACTTGGTGACCCCTCTGACAATCGCGCCGTCGTCTGTCTTCATCACGTCGCACGACAGCGCTTCCATGTTGACCTATGACATCATCCAGGTCATGCCATGACGAATCACGACCACGCCACGTTCCGTACCGACGCAAACGAGTTGGTGTAGCGCTCCCAGTTCGCAAGGATGCTGTGAACGCCAATGGAGCCGTTGTAGTTGATGTGTTCATGGGCAATGGCGCGAATAAACTTTTCTTGCCGCTCGCTCATGCGCCTTTTCGACGGAATGTACCCCTTCACAGTCGGCCTGATCATGGTATGCAACGAGTAAAGATCGATCAAAACGTACCGACTTGAAGACCGATATGTATTTCCGCACGAGTTTGGTTGGTACCCCCCCGTCAAAGTCGGGTTGGTGCACGAGGATGGTCGACAGTGGCACGCACCGCACGAGCTGTGCCTTTTGGACCTCCAGCCGCTGCACTTCCTCTTCCAGCGACTGCACGGTGGTTTCAATCCCTTCGTGCTCTTTCTTCTTGCGTTCGCGAAAAGACCTTTGGCTCACGCGGCACTGTTCGCGTCGTCGGTCCGTCGCGTTCGAACCCGTGCTGTGGCGCTTGGCACGGTCTAGCTGCGCCGCCAAGGCCACCGACGATGCGATGTCGTCGATGAGCTCTTGGGATTCCTTGGGCATCGACGGCGCCATGTACGTGTTCATATATATGTCCACGTGGTCGCGGGAAGGGCCTGCACTCGACGTCGGACTACCAGGAATGCCAGCTACGTTGGATCAATGTCAAAAACGACTTTCATGATTGGAATTCGAGAACGTTAGTCTGATCCGCATACAAATTCCAAGATAATGTGAACTAATAACATCACCACCTTGTCATGGGCCGTGGTTCGACGGAGTGGCGTACTGTATGACAGATCATCGGGCGAAACGTTCATCGCTACATGCAAGAGCAGGTATAGTACAGTAGGGTGCTCACGCCACTTGACATGAGGGCTGGCTAGCTGCCATGCTGTACATACATGTAGTCTCCTTCCCATCAACGTGACATGTGGTCGGTCCCAATGTGTCAGAAGTCACGTTGCCCACTACAGAGTGTTACAGTATCACCCTTGCTATCCCAAAACAAAATCTATTCGACGCTTCACATCGGGTGCGTCTGGCGTCACGATGAGTCCGTTGGGCGTGAAGTACCGCCCCGCTTCCCCTTGCGGCCCTTCGAGCACAAACAACGCGTCGGCAATACTCGCCAACGCGCGCACGAGCCCGGGGACCATCTGGACGTTCGCATCCATCACCGCCACACGCGCATGGTCAAACGAAAACGACAAGCGCAACGTGAACTCGATCTCTCGGTCCACGAGTCGCTGGACAATGTCTTCCCGCGCCAGGACGTGGGGAAACAACCCTGCCAACGTGGCCCGCGTGAACACGAGGACAAGCGTGCTGTGCGCAATCACGATGTCGTTCTCGGTTCCATGCGCCCGCACTTCCCCTGAACGCATGAACAAGTACGGAAACGACATCGTGTACGACTTCCACTGCCGAATGAGGGCGTCGGGGCCAACCTCGCCGTTGAATTGCAGCGAATCGCACATGACGCCGCGGACAAGGTCCATTTGCGTCGTAAATTGGTCCTCGTGCGGTTGAAACAATCCACGTTGGAACATGCGCAGGTAGCTCGAGATCGATCGGCATCGGTGCTGTCCTGCTTGCACAAACTGTTCGATGACCGTGGACCGTAGCATGCTTGCGCGCACTTCCATCATGCTCGTGGCGTCCGAAAGGTCGCGCACGTACTGTTCGACCTGCATAACTCGTCCTCGCTTCCGTTCTCGGTACCGCCGCTGGTTGATCATGCAGTCGCGCCTTCTCTTGTCCAGCCTGAAACCCTTGGACGTCGTGGTTCCACCGCGCTTCGTTAGGTCCATCGGTACAAAGTCCTCGTAGTTGTTGATAACGGGGGCGTTGGGTGCGGAAAATATTTCGAATTGTATCTGTCCACAGCAATACTGAATCAAAGATAATAAAAAGAACCATTGCTTGGACAAATTTGTAACCGAATAACTTTCCGAATAAAATCGTGACCACGTCATGACGAAACCCCTTGTCTGGTAAGTGTACTTGGAGTTGCATTCTGTAGATAACGTTACTATTAATACTATTTATATTTATAGTAGTATGCAGTACTCAGACTACTATTTACTACTAGTAGTACTGTACCGCGATACAACCAGCACGACGACATGGGCAATATTGCATCGCTGGGTATACGCTGTGTTGATTTGTCAAGATACATATGTACCGGTAATGCATGGGTGGTTGTTTCGAATGTCTGAACTGTACACTCTCAACATACTCTCAATCGTGCCTACAAGAATGCAGACAATACTTCGGTATACTCACTCTCGTATATATATTGTAAATTCGCTATATACGTCCCAAATTTGCACGGTTTGTCGACTCAATTTTGAATCCTGATTGGTTGAATATCCTTGCCCTTTCTGTAAGAGCCAATCAAATCCACTCAAAAATGGAGTGTCGATTCGTGATTGTTCGATTTTTGGCGGCAAGATTCGACGGGGTCTGGAATATCCACAATATAACGTTATATTTGTATTATTTCGAGTTTTGTGTTTTGCTGACCACACGTTTACTTGATTTGGAACCCCATGTCGCGAAGCATGTTGGACACCGGCCCCGCGCCCCCGTCTTGCGATGCCACCGACGCCAACAAGTTGGACACAAGGTTAAAGTCCACGTCCACGGGCTTGACGTTGTCGCCGTCGTGTTCGATCGGTGGTCCTGGTTGATGTGGCTGGGAGAGGAAACTCTTGGCCATTTTGGACTCGGTCAACTCCGAGTCCATTTCAGCCATCATGGCGTCCATGTCGACTTCATCGTCTTCACTTTCAAAAAAGTAATCGTCGACGTTGGTATCCTGTTCGCTACGTGGGCTTTCGTGCAAGTTGTCGCCAACGTTGCCCGACTTCAAAATCTCCATCAGCGCGTGCATGTTAAAACTGACTTCGGTCGGAAGAGTCTCCGTGGCCACTCCTTCATAGTCGGACTTGGTGTGCACAAACTTGTCAAAGAGCGAGGCCATGGTCTGCAGCGCTTGGCCCCCGCTTTCGCCCCCATCTTCGTCGTCGTTGGCTGACTGGTGCTGCAGTTTCGAGTCTGCCGCATCCAGCATCGCTTCCAGTCCCTCCGGGGTCACATACAGCCACGAGTCGTCGTCCGACGGCCGCAAGTCCGACGGCGGCACAAACTTTCGTGCTGGGTCTTGCAGCAGTGCGTCAATGGCATCCCGCCATACGGTGCCTCGCCAGTCTTGGACGCGGCTATGGCAGAGCAGTTCTAACCCACAGCACAGCTTCATGCCCAACTCGGCGGCGGCGACGACGTTGGCGTCGGCGTCCGGGCGTGGGGTGGTTGGTTGGAAGGGCTTGGGGGGTGCGAATTGCTGCTGTTTTACTTGTGCATACATGCACCGAGTAAGAGGAACCATGGCCATGGCCATTCCGGTTGACGTGGACGGGACAGGGAATCGCTGCATGTGTCGGCAAACTTGCGTGGCTTCCGTGGGGTCACGGTAGTAGAACGCCTCGACCGCGTAGGCGATGCTGTGGGGCAATGCTTGGAAGACTAGGGCGGCGGCGGGGGGCAGCATGCATTGGACGTGGTGGTGGTTGATATCTGGTTGCATCGAGTACGACGTTGCGTGGCCGAGGCGATCGAGCACGATGGCGTCCATGACTTTGTTGGCTCGCGTGGAGGGTGTCTCTGGGTCGGTGACGAAGGAGAGCGCCGTGTGCAGTTCCATGTGTCGTTCGGTGGGATTGTGGTGGACGATGTGGAGATGGCCCCGTCGTAGAAAGATTCGATTGGAGCTGTTGTCAGGGTTGAGCCAGGCCGGAAGCGCCTCGGCGGCTTCGATGAGGAGGAATTCGCCGTCGGCGTCCCATACTTGCACCGTGATGTTTGAGTGCTTCTTTGTGAGAGCGTTCAGCGCCGCAGTTGCCACCCACTCGTCCTCTACGTTGTCCCCCACGAGCATCTTGCCGTGCAATGCTCGAGGGAGAGTTGTGGAGACGCCTAGAACGAGCGGCTCCTTTTGCCACACATACCCTTGCAGGAACACATCCAACTCTTCTTGCATGGACGCTTCGTAGGAACTTGCATCCCGTTCAGAGGACTCGTCGAAATGGATGAAAAACTCCAAGAAGTCCTGCCCCACTTCTGCTGTCGGGAACATCGTGCCACTCGCTTCAACAGTTCCATTTGAAGGTTCCGATGTTTGATTGGTCGATTTCGACATTCATTGCGATTGGCTCAAAGGTAAAAGTTAATATTCACTCAAAAGTCAAAGAAATGTATAAGGATCCAACGAAAAATGTCATAAAATTGCCATTTTTACAAGAACTGTCGCCAAAATCGAAATATTCCATTTTTCGAGATTTAGTGCGTCTGAATGCCACCAAAGTTCAAAACATTTTACCACATTTTTCTTGAGAATCGGGTGTTTCATGGCATTAAAAAATGGACAGATGATTATCATTAGGCCCAACTTTTTAAAGGAGGTTTGTGAAGTCTTTGACATCGCAATATCGAATACTATCAATACTATATATAATAATAACTATTAATACTACGTAGTAGGTATTAATAGTAGTACTAGTTTTCCCAAAATTCAGCTAGCATCCAGACATCTTTGTAGATAACGTTACTTTTTTTCATGGGATTTTGGGGAAATTTAGTAGACTTGCCAAAACGACTAATGGCATAGTTTTATGAGACCAACCCGTAATAAATGTTGATTTCACAACAACCTAAAAACGCAGAAATATATTTCCACAATCTGTATGTAGCGTCATTGGATAGTCAACGGCTTAACGTTAGGTAAGGCAACTACGGCCGCATCAACTCGACAGCTGGAAGTTGGCTCAACGATTCCAGCGCTCGAGCCAAGAGAGCTTTGGGTGGTGCCGACGACGCGTGCTTGATCCACGTCAAATAGCAGTCCTTGAGATGGTCGGTGCGAGGATGCTTTAATTTGATCAGCGCCTTCATGCACCCATGCACTTGTTGTTCAATCAGCCGAAACAGTCCTTGGAGCAGCATCGACACCCGTTGCCGATCTTCGAGGGATGCATCGTTGCCCGACGGAAGACTGTACAGAGGGGCACATTGCACAAGGCACATCAACGCTCGCCACGGCGCGGCCTCCGACGGCGGCGTCGTGGCATTCGCTTCGATCTTGACTCCCGTGGAGAGGAGGAACTTGACCGCATCCAACCGCAGAAGCAAATGATGCACGCACGTTTCAAACGCCAGGGGTAGTGCGTCCAAAGCTGCAGCGTAATGGTCCTCGCATGTCTTCATCAGCTGCACCGCGTCCACCGATGGACTGGTGCCATGTTGCTGCAAGCCCAAATGCGACGCATACAGGCACGCCAACAAGTAGTGCGCGTCCGCCACCCGCCATCGTGTTTTGACGCATGAAGGACGAAGCCGCAACGCGTCTTGGCTACACGTGAGGCACTTGGTCAGCTCGACGCGCACGGCGCTTTGGGCCGCGGTCCATCCGCCGACATCGTCCACCGTTCGCAACGCTTTTCGACTCAGCCATTCCTGCAAGTACAAGGCATGTTGGGCATGGGCCAGGCGAAGCAGGAGTAACACGTGCCCTTGCAACGCATGCGTCCACTCATTGCCCACGTCCTCATGCGAACCCGACGTCAAATCCGACAGGGCGCGCGTGAACGCGCCAATAGCTTTGTGGAACCCACTCGAGTCCGTAGCCAGACGCAGGGCGATTTCCCCCAGAAGCACGCGCATCTCGATGGCGGCGGCGGCGTCGCCCGTGGAGCTGAACAGCACCAGCCCTTGCTCAGCATGCCGCGCGCCTTTCGTGAGCCGACCACTGACCACGAACTGGCGGGTCTGTGACACGTACGCGTCACGAAGAGTCGCCCGGAACGCGTCGTGCACGGGATCTCGACCGACGCTCAAGAGAGGCAGCGTTTGGTGGGTCGCTTTAGACGTACCCACGTGCATGGCACACGCCACCGCTACGTTCAAATGCAACTCCTTGTCTCCAGCGGGCCACTTGGTTGCAAACGTCTCGGACATGTGGACCCACGCCGGCGCCGCGACGGCGGCTCGTTGCTTCGTCATCAGGCGTTTCAAGTCGTTGGTCCGTTGAGCGGTTGCAAAAAATCGAGTGCGGTGGGCGTCCACGGACGAAGTTGCCGCCAGGCGAAGGTGGAGTTTGGCGACGAGAAGCGTCACCTGGGGGTATTCATACGACGGCAACAACGCCAGCAACGTGTGGGTGTGGCTTAAAGCGGTTCCAAGGTCGGCTTCGTGGAGGGCAAAGTGGGCGAGCACGTAGTAGCATGCCGAGAGACTGTCCACAAGACTCGACTCTGTCGCCGTGACTTCTTGGGCCCACTTCATCCCCAAACCAAACACGACCAGAGCTTGTTCAAAGTCTTCTTTCTCCTGCGCCTCGTCGTCAAGCAGGGGCGGGGGATACTGGTCGTCCATGCGGACATCGTCGGATGGTGGAGGCGGCGGCGGCGGCTTCTTGGTCGGGAGGTAGCGCTGCGCGATTTCAAACAGCGTCGCAATTTTGGGCGTGCCGTCTTGCCTTGCAAACGCCTCGCACGCGTCCAGGGCTGCCGACAAGTCGTTCACCATCGCATGTGGAGACGCGGTTTCCAGCAGGCGCAACGGCAGAGAGGTGACGAGATGGGGTCGGAGGAAGGTAGTGCCTAGCGCCAAGCACGCTTGGGCCGCCACGTCCGGGCACGCTTTGGCATCGATCATGCGAATGCACTTGGTGTAGAGTCGCTGGGCGCGGCGGACGTCGTGGGTCGCGATTGAATTGGCCAGTTGAAAGCACAGCATGCCCACGGTGTGGTCTGCCGTTGTAAACACGTTCGTGGGCAGCTGAAACAAGTGCACCTTGTCCGACACCTTGGTGACCCAGTACGTTTGCGCTTCGTCCACGCAGTGCTCTTGCAGAAACGACAGGATCATCTGCGCGTTGTCAAACACCGCGTGCGCGTCAAAGAGCTCGGGGGCTTGCATGAACGGCAGGTCTTCCGTGCGCACCATATGGTACCCCTGGACGTGGCCGTCTCGGTGGTAGCAGAACGCTGTCTGATGGAGGTTGTTCATGACGTTGTCGAGCCACGTGTCCAAGCAAGCCAGCGCGTTTAGTGTCGACCGGTCGTATAACGTCACGGACGTCGGCGTGTCGACGTTCTCGGAGGCGTCGTCTGCCTTGTGCTTGAAAATGACTGTGTTGCTGCCCAGCAGCATTTCCATCGAGTTGAATTGCCACCGCACCAGTTGTTGGTACGACGACAGATGCAGCAGCGAGGGCGGCACGTGCTCCGTCATGGTCAATTCCAGTGGAAACGATACCCGCGAGAAAGCGTCATGGAGGAATCGGTCGTGAAGGCCGCGCTGGACGCTGGTTTGGGCAATGTCTTCCAAGCATGGCACGGGGTCGTCGTCGCACACGAGGAAGATTTCGCCCGTTTCTGGATCCGTCACGAGCTGATGGTCCATCCCTTCGTCACGATCGTCGTCATGAATGTCCCAGTTGTTGACAAGGAATGGGTTTTGAGCAGAGACTGCAGGCGGCGGGGGCGTCAGTGTCAAAACTGGGGTCGACGGTGGCGGGGACGCCGTTTTCTTATACCGGCGGGAAATGCGTTGGGACTCCGACTCTGCGGAGGTGCCCACTACAAGACGTCGTCCAACACGATGGACTGCAATGCCCTTGGGGGTTGAGTTGTACGGCATGGAAAAAACTTGCTTCATGGCGTCCACGGAAGCGACAATGTCCACCCTTGGTTGGCAATACTCATGCAACGCGACGCCCGTGGAAGAAGGCTCGTTTGAGACGTCCGACGATGTCGCAGGAACGGCGATGACTTCACGAACATGCGTGTGCGATGATGAATCGCTGCTTTGAGCATGGATATCATCACCAGGCGCGAGATACGATTCCTCTGTCGGAGAGTGACTGGGTGCGGGCGACAGGGCCACCTTACGCAGATCCAAGCAATCCGAAAGAGGAATCTCCATACTTGCTAGAGGAGGGATCATCCTTGACGTCCTCCGCTCCATTGCCGCAGGCAAGTGACGCGTCGTCATGACCTTTCTGCTTCGCGACGTGTCGGCAAGAGTAGGAGTCAACTATCGTCGCGAAAAAACAATAAACTTCTCGAATATACTACTACTTCCGGCGTACAAAATAGATAGTCAAATAAGTGATATTTTGGTTTTATATTTCTTGAGCGGTTCAAAACAGTGCTACCTGATTTCCCAGTACTATTACTGTATCCCTGACAGTAAATATTCATCTCTCAAACAGCAGGTGTTCTAGGCAAGAGCGATTGGCCATCAGAGTGTCAAGTTCAAATTGGACGACCCATCACGTAATTTTAAGTCGTGAAAATGCAAAGTGATCTTCGGGGATTCTAGGAAGGGTGCTCGATGCTGCTACTACTGTAGGCTCGTTGTCGATGTGTGCGCTAACGTTTTGTATGGCTTGTGTGCCGGGCTGCAGCAGCATAGACACTGAGTCGTCCGTGTAACTAATTCGCTCTCCCACGTTTGTCACGGTGCCGCTGCATACTTCAATACAGCTTAATCGCAACTCACACTAATTTCATGTCGGAGAAACCTCGAGCGAGACTGAAACTCTGGCAGGCGGAGTGCATTTCGGACCTCATTCGACATAACTATGGGATCGTCGGTCGTCGCCATCGCGGCAGGTTCGTCCTCCCTACATCATGTGACCAAGTTGTCGATGGCGCGTGTGTGTAGTCCTCGTACTTTTTGCAACTGCCAATATCGAAGCCAAGACAGCCAAGGAAATATGCGCGTCGCCAACGTGCAATCGCGCAGGTACTACCTCGGATCCCATTTCGATGGACAGAGCACTCGTCATTGCACCTTGCGTCGGTGAAGACATGGGATGTTTTGGCTACGGAGCAAATGGTGCGTGTCCGTTCGCGAACATGGTGGATTGTAGCAAGCAGCCGCCGCCGCCGACAACGGTCGCGTCAACAACCTCCGTTTCTCCCTCCTCCACCCACGCGCCAACTACAGCCACGACACCCACAACGAGCCCGAAGCCTACCGACGCCGAAAGCAGCGGCAGCAATTACCCGTACATCATTGCCGGTGGTGCCGTCGCGTTGATTGCCATCGGCGCCCTCGTGTTTATCCTTATTCGAAAGTCCGGTGGCCGCAACAACCAGGAAGACGACGACATCGAAGTCGCCAATTACGCCAAAGCCGTACCAGTTCAGGGCAAGGACGACCCTTCCGCGTACGGGTACCCCGAGCAGGAGAACAAGTCGTTCGGAGAAGTTCCGATGCACCAACGCCACAACAAATCGTTTGGGAACCAAGATCTCCGTCGTCAAAACACGGGCTCCTTCGTCACGCCCGCACAGCCCATCGCGCGGCCCAACACGACGTCATTCCTTCAGAACAACCAAGGGCTTGTGGTCGTGCCCCATGTCGAAACCAAGGAGCAGTTTTACGTCCCAGAGTCGACTCAAGACTATCATCATCCTGGCGCCCCTGCAGCCCCGGAGCCGAATCGAAGGGAGTCGTTCGAGTTCTAGGGGTCTTTACGAACTCGGACGGATGTATAGGTGGGAGGGATGCTAGGTACTAATAAGGAGTTAACTGGCGGACAATAATATGTCATATGAATCCAATTACGCTATCATTCTTCGTGGGCAAGTCGAACAACATCGTTCGCCACCTCCATACTACCGGTACAGTGTAGACTTTCAGTTAATTCCATTCAGTTTACACGACACGAGCAACTTATTTCCGTGATAAAAATTGGAAACCCCGAAACCCCCATTGGTAGGTAGACTCTACTCTTATACAGTACCAAATGCTGAAGGTTCTTTGATTTGCATCCATTTACAGAGGTGTTGCTCGATTCGTATCCGGAGGATCCGGTTAGACAGGAAGTTGATCAGGCAGAGTCGGTGTTGCCGCCATGTTTGTGCACTTGCACTCGTCGCCGTTGGTGGTGCGGCAGTCCTGCTCGCCCTTGAGCAACCCAATCAATGCCACACGTCCATTTGGCTTGAGCAGCGACTTCCAGCCAATTGAGATATTGGATGTGAAGGAAGAACGGCGGCTGTTGTTGCAGTGCCTGCAGGAATGCGGGAAGCAAGTCAAGTGGCGAAGTGAAGTTGCCGACGTCCACACTTTCCGCAAGGTGAGACAACGCCCACGTATACGTTTCCACAACTGCACCGACCTATGGTAGGTCATCTCGCACGGCTGCAGGGCACTGCATTTCTCAGGCCACGGCGTGCCAGGCAAGGTCATCTTTGAAAGCGCGACCTGCGAAGCGCACTTCTTGTCCCAACAGGAACTGAAGACCCTTCTCTTGGCCGGCGATCAACCATGCCCTGAAAGTGCCATGCGTCTCGTGTTTGTGAGTGCATGCCACTCCGAGAGCGTCGCAGAAGCATTCGTGTCTGCCGGCGTGCCCCATGTGGTCGTGGTCCCCAAGGAAGACAAAGTACTCGATCAAAAAGCGATGGAGTTCTCGAAAGCATTCTACACGGCACTCTTGGCTGGACATAGCGTCTTGAAATCGTTTGAAATCGGGTACGATGACATTCCACGATGACGCAATCCCAATCATACCGTAGCCAAGTGCAAGCGAACATTGTCACAGACACCCACCAATCCAAGTTCAAACTGCTGGGTTGTGGCAACCACGCGGCAAGCCATTTATTCTCGGACCTCCCCCCGGGTCCATACGAGGACTTGACGCCGCCGCTCCCGGTCAACGAGTGCGACGCCGTTGCGGAGGCGTTCATCGGTCGTTCGTTGGAAGTACATGCCGTGTTCACGGCGCTGGCCGAGGGGGCGCGCATGGTAAGCCTTGTGGGGGATGCAGGCATGGGCAAGACCGAGGTTGCGCTGCAAGCGTGCCAGTACGCGACGGACAGGCACCTCTTCGAGCGCGTCTTTTTCCTTCGCTTGTCGGCCGTCCCCCCGGCACCAAATTTGACGCGTTATGTGCTGACTCGATTAGCCAAGTGCTTTGGCTTGTTGGTCCAAGGAAACGACTTGGACGGACTTTGCGAACACATTCGCGATCAGTTGGACGCGCTCAAAGCCGACAAGCGCCTCACGTTCCTCTTGGTGCTGGACGGATGCAACTACTTGCTCACAAACCCCAACGAACGGAGCCAGCTGTCGACAATCCAAGCCATTCTTTCCCAGGTGCGGCTGTCGTTAGTATCGCGGAAACACTGAGCGGTTGTAGCTCTTGCGAAGGGTACGGTCGTTGTCGCTGCTCGTGACAAGTACCACTCGCCTTGGCGGTGGCGCAGGGCTAGACTGTGGAGTCGGCGAGCGCATCATCCCCATCGAGCCCCTGCCACCATGGGACGCCGCCTTGCTCTTCACACTGCGCGCGCCGCGTCGGCTGCAGGTCCACGAAATGGGCGGCGGGTTGGCCCCGTTTGCCCAAAGCCAGATCATGGATGCTCTGGGGGGACATCCCAAGACCATCTGCGCGGTAAACTGAATGTGTGACATCGTTCGATCGACGCCAACGGCTGCCATAGGTCGCGCAACTGCTCGAGAACCACGACTTGTCGCGGGACGAAGGGGAGTTCCTACACTATTTAATTCCCGCCGTGATCGCCGGCCTCGACCCAGCGTCCAAACAACACTTTTCAACCGACTATTGTCCGCTGTTGCCCTACACAGTATCATCCAAAAAAGAACCACCATCGGACATGAGTCGAACGCACGACGACAAGCTGGTGCCCGTGGCTGCCCTGCCCATCGCATGCCCCCCGCCGCCCCTGCACCAGCCCCCGTCATCGTCATCGACCCCCGCCAGCGACGGCCTGTCCCCCCAGCAACTCCAGCTCTTCGCCATCAAGCGGCAGGTGGAAGGCTCGATTGCGTCGTCGGAAGGGTGCATGATATGGGCGCATGCTGTGGTTGAATTCAATAAGTCCACTGCGTCGTCAGTCGACGTGTGCCAAGTCGCGGCGCTCACTTCCGTGCCGTTTGAGTTTATCGGCCAACAAGTCAGTCGGTACTTTGCATCCAAGATACGCCAAGACGCCGTCCTGCGCCCGCTCTCCACTCGATGCATGGAATTCCTCAGCTCCAGCGACCGCATTTGGGGTACGATACGGAGTTATGTTATATACTGTCTTGACAATGCAACATTACTAGGCCGCGCCGGCGTGAGCCCCAACACTCGCCGGGGTCTCGTGGACTTGGACATGTTTGGCGCGTTTTGGACGTGGTTCCAGCCCCTGCTCAGCTGCATCAAGACGTCGCAACTGTGGGGGTTCAAGCACCCGCGGCTGCTCCACGGGTTCATTTCGAAGTCTTCGTGTGTAAACATGCTCAGTCCGTGCGTACCAGGCACGTTCCTGCTGCGGTTCTCTGAAACCAAGGCGTCATGTGTTGTGGTGGTGTTCGTCACCAGCGGGGGCCGCGTAGAGATGGTGCCCGTGGAGTACAAGCACACCGTGCCCCGGCGGTTTGAAGTGTACTTGCAGGACAGCGGCGCCATCGTGTCATTTTCGACGCTGCCAGAACTCGTGCTCAACGTCCACGTGCTCAAGTTTGTCTACCCTCACACCCCCAAGCAAAATGTGTTCCAAGTGTAGTCCCGTTAGTTACTCGAACGTCATAGTGGTGAACGTTTGTATTAACTACTTAGTACTACGACTACTACTACTAGTCATACACCGACGACGAGTCTAGCACGCAGCGAAAGCCCACCGTGGCCGACCGATCGTAGCTCGGCGACAACTGCAGCCACTTGCCGTGCTCTTGGACGTGCTTTACATGGGGAAAGTACCAGTTCGGGTCGTTCAAACTCGACGCCACCGGCTGGTATCGACTGCCTCCACGGAGGAGCAAACTGCACGTGTGAGTGTCGCAGAATGTATCGGTCATCTCCCACACGAGGCCTTCGAGGTCGCACACCCCTGCGGTGGTGCATCCGTCCGGAAATCCCCCCACGCTCACGAGGCTGTCGACTTCACCGTGAAGGATGGATGGCACGCGCGTCAGGTCCGCCGAGTCGCCCCACGGGTGCAGCGTCGACTGGTTGGTGGGGCCGTTGGAGGCCACGTATTGCCACTCCCAGTCGTGGGGCAGACGAAGGCCGTAGAAGTCGGCGAACGCCCGCGCGTCTTCCACCGACACGTGCACGACGGGATGGTCCGCGGCTCCCGGCGGGTACCTCCAAGACGTTACTGGCTCGTACGTGGTGGGCTCTGCTGCGTACCGGTGGTGCCACGTCTGGAGAAACTGCGACAAGTCAGACGGTGTGTAGTTGGATTGGAGCAGAAACGACTGGTACTGGCCGTTTGTGACGGGGTGGCGCATGATGTGGAACGGGTCGACCCACAATTCGGTCGCGTGGTGCGGCGACGGTCGGCTCTCCCACGGGAATTGCACCCCGACCCCGTACAAGTCATCGCCGTGGGGGGTCCACGCCGGCACGGGTTCGATTTGCACGCCATCGACCACGAACTTCCACGCTTCCGACCCTGGAATCGACACCTACACCACACGATATATCAATACCCAATGATTGCATCTCCAGCCTTACAAGATCCAAGTCAGATAATGCCGATGCCGCCGCCTTGGGCGATGCCTCGATCTCTTTAGCACTGACGATCGTAGTGACTGGTTTGATGGAGGTTATGGATTGAGAAAGAAGCGGCCGGGCCGTGCCATACGCACGCAGGGGCAATGCTGTCAATTGGTGCATGTATGAGAGGAACCCGGGCAGCCAGTCGTCCAGCCCCCCCACTTCGCTGCGATGCACGACAAAGAGGGCCCCGTAGCCGTAGCCTTCGATGGCCACGGGCACACTCACCGTCGAGCCGTCTCCGCTGTGAGTGGCGTCGACTGTTGCGTTGAGCTCGAGCCCATGATATAGATCAAACACAGCGACGTCGTGGGTCAATCCAGGCAGGTCCAGGGTCACGACGCCAGTGAAATCGTCGGGGGATGTGTGGATGAACGTGAACACGATGGAAGGGTGGTGTGGGGTCGGGAAGGCGCTGCCGTGAACGTTTGCAGGCAGGTCGGGGACGTAGGGCTGCCAGGTCGTCGAGTGCATGGCCTCTGGGAAGCGCCGGAGGATGGCGGATGTTCGCTTGAGTTCTTGCCACTCGCGCTCCGTCATGGCGTTCCAGATGCCCCAGATGTTCTCCCACACAACGTACCCCGCGCCATTGAAAAAAGCCATCTGCAACTCCACGGACCGGCTGAGCGACCACCGCGCGCACACCAGCGGCGTGTGACGAGGCTCCAAGTACTTGGCGCGGGCCACGGGGGGGAACTGAGAGAAACCAAAGTAGTACCCCCAGCTCATGGGGTTCACACCCAGGGTGTGCGAAGGGAGGCCGCCTTCGGGGCACGTTGCCGTCGGGGCCGAGCAGTTGAAGAAGGAGGCAGGTACACCATACATGGTATCGCCATTGATCCCGTCGGCCCCGATGGCGTCGACGATGGTATGCAGGGTGGAGATGTCGGAGCGGTAGCGAGGAAGGGTGGGGTCGCTGTTGCGAGTGGCGGTGTCCCAAGGTTGGTATGGAAGGAACACAGTTACGTTGTGCGCATGAAAGTCATCCACGAGGGAGCGAAGCCCATCGAGGCCACCCGGAAGGATGGACCAAAAATCGTATTGGTTGCGAGCGTCGATGCCCAGATTCGGATACGACGGCCAGAGCAGCACGCTGTCGATGGGCAAGTCGAAACTCGTGACAAACTTGTCGACAGTGTACGCGTTGTTCGCTCGATCATACAACGTCCGGTCGTGCAACATGGCGAACACTTGCACAAAGCTGCGCTGAGTCCATTGCAAAGATGGCAGGTTGTAGACGTTGCAGACGCCGTCGGGGTCGTATCGTACGGACTGCAACTCCTTTCGCTTCCACGTGCCCCACTCGGCACGCCATGCGTCGATAGACGCACGGTCTCTCAAAGCAGGGCCATCCAAAAGCTCATACCCGTCCGGCATGGGTTCCCAGGAAAACACTCTTGTCGCCAATGCCACAAGCGTCAACCCCAAGAAGTTCATCGTACGTTGAAAGCTAAAATGTGAGAAGATCCAACAAATCCACCAGCATCTCACTCAAAGTCCAAATCGTCGCCAAAACGTAAAACGCGTTTAATTCTGGACGCCACACTCAAATGATACACGCTGTTACCGGTATGGCAATACTGTATGCACATTTCGTTACGAAATAGGCTGGGGCGTCCACGACTTACAGTTCGTAACATGACACACTGTGACACGGTCAAAGCATACTGGAGAATGCATCGCTTCCATCGCGATGTACTGGTATGTATCGATATTAAACCTAATTAACGGCACTTTGTGATTCTGTTTAAACAAGTCTTTCCGTGAACGACTCATCCTTCCGACGACGCTACTTCGACACATCAAGGCGGACGCCTGGTCTACAATTCAACCGACGAGACGCGGGCTCGTCCATTGCGCTTGGGCGATGGCTGCAGGTCTTCCGACAATCCGCTGTCGCGGGAGTCAATCGAGTCCTTGAACTCGTACACAGAGTGCGCTCCCGATGGGTTGTTAAGAAACGATTGCGACGCAAACTCGGATTCGCGGTCCGTGTCGTATCCCCCCGCAGACTGCGGGGGTAGGACGGCAGAGTTCTGCGCTTCGTACTCGAATTCCGAGTCCCGGTGGGTGGACGTCGTGTTCAAGTACGAGCCGACGACAACGGGGTTGGCCGTTGGTTGCAGCGACCGCTGTTGCTGGTTCGACGTATGGTTTGAGTACGGGTTGTATTGCTGGGTCACAACCTGTGGCGCTTTGACCGGCGGGGAGTAGGCATTGAGCACGGCCACAGGCGGTGCTGCCTTGGTGTAGGAGGGTGCGGTGATCTTGTACGTTTGCACTTCGTCGTAGTCGTCGTCGTCATCATCGCGAGGTTGCTTTAGCTTGAGCAGCAAAAAGACAATTCCTGCCAAAAGCACAGCGCCCCCCACGCCCAAACCGATGTACACACCGAGGCTGCTGCTGTCGTCATCGACAGGGGCCGAAGTCGTCGGGCGCAGCGTCGTGGTGGGAGCTACGGTCACTTCAATCAAGGCGGCTTGCGTTGTCACAGGTTTGGTAGTCGTGGGCCTGCGGGTCGTTGTGGGTGCAGCGGTGGTCGTTTTCAAAGGCGCCAACGTTGTTTCCAACGACACCGTCGTCGCCACCGGGGCCTCAGTGGTTTCCGTCACGGTGGGTGTCGTGGGTGCCGTGAGTGTCGTAGGCTCGACAGTGGTCTTGACCGGGGTGGTCGTGGGGAAGGCAGTCGTTGGCTTCAGTGTGGTGGCCCTGGACGTGGTGGGCTCTACAGTGGTGGGCTCTACGGTCGTGGGCTCTACGGTGATGGGCGAAATCGTGATGGGCGAAATCGTGATGGGCGAAAACGTAATGGGCGCGCGAGTGGTGCGTCCCCTGGTTGTGGTAGGCGCAGGAGTGCCGTCATCTTGTGCGGCCACGCCAGACACTACAGAGCGAGGTTAGACAAGGAGGCATTGACATGTTCGTGTGTACCAAGGAGGAAGGATACGCAGAAGAGCTTCAGGAGATGGGAATGCTTCACCATGCTACAGTACTGGACTGAAGGTCCTTGTAGATTTTTGTGCTTTGGGTGCACGGCGCCATGAGGCCTGCCCCATGTGTAACACCCGACTCTTTGTCTGAACCATGCCTAACGGCTGCCAAGATCTTTTTTTATACCGTCCTTACAAATTCCAACATGAAATAAAAGTTCTGGATTTAAATGGTGGCCAATGGCATCGCCTGCTGAGCCATCATACAACCCCCAAGGTATTTCTCGCCCAGGCGCGCGCCGCAGCCAATCTGGTCGTTCTCGCCAGACTGTTGAAGCGATATAATACTACTAACGTTAGTAGTACATAGTTACTCCATCTCGTGGCCGGAACACAGTGATTATTCGTGAAGCAATAATGTCTGGCGACACACGAGCATGTCATGATATGTCATGCATACTAGTAGGGCGTGGATTACCACAACGACTTGCATGTACTTCCAGTAGCTTTACCGAGAATTAAGTATTCCCTACAGCAAACTTTCGACAGCCCATGAAACATAACCCGTCTCTACACATTCGCACTTGGACAGTACGTTGTGTTGGAGTAGTACATATTCCTCTCTCCCGTAGATGAATACTATTGATAGTACAAAGGCCAAATACTTTAGAAGAACTTCTTTTGACAAACCGAGATTACTTTAGAAGTACTTCTTTTATTAATAACAACCGAGATTACTTTAGAAGTACTTCTTTTATTGTCGATTTGATACTACAGTACAGTACAAATTAATCGAATCGCGCCGACCAAACCGATCCACAATCGATCTGATTGGTTGAATTTCATTGAGATGGTTTTGATTGGCTAATAATTTTGAGCTCATTTAAAGTAGCCAATCAAATCGATTTAAATTCCAACGAGAAACCACGCCACAACACGAAATTTCACTCGAAATAACAACCGAGATTTTTTAAACGTCCAGGGAAATATGCATTAACGTTAAGGTAATCCATCAATATCGCGAACGCCATCAATATCGCGAACGCTTGTCATTATATCCAATCCAATGGCTTCATTCTGTAATGAGGGGTTTTCATTGGATATGATTATATTCAGCCAAAGGATCAGGATACCACCTTGAAGTTCAAAATTATGTTCATTTTTATGTTGTCCAATACAAATTGCAACTTATATCTTATTATAATGCCTACAAATTTAATGTAGAATTGAGTTCATTTATAAATTAAAACGCGTCACGACACCCAGGTATATTATTTTGTAAATTAATATTCCAAACATACAAAACTAAGATATTACGACCGTTCGCGAAATACAAAGCCAAAGAAGTTTCACCAATTCTTAACGTTACGTTATAATTTCAAAATACAAATCGATTATTGGGATATTTCAGGCACTTCTTGGCACTAAAAAATGCAGCTGGATTTATATTTTCCAACGCTACCTTTAGTTTTTTTTTATTCGAGGGACTTTTTGTGATGGAGTGCTTCAAACATTTGACATTTTAGTGCACAAAAAGCGTTCGCGATATTGATGGATTACCTTATAGGCATTTTAGTACGAGCTTCGCGTGGACTACTTGATGTCGAGAAGATACCCCCCTGGACGAGGTCAGTGTGGTTGGTTGGGGGGTCCGTGTCGTCACGATGTGCGTTCGTCCAATTCGCGTTGCGAGTTGATCTTTTCCACTTCGTCCCACAAGTCCCCGCCAAACGAGAGCTGGTTGTCTTGCATGGGCGACGGCACGGCGTGAATCTCAAACTCCATCGACGTCCGGTTGCCATGACGGGACTCCCGGGTCACGGACGGGGGCAAGACATCTCCATTGGTCTTGGCAAACACTACTGGTGTGCTGAATACGACGAAGTCGCTCGAAGTCGGCTCAGAAGACGCAGGCATTGTGCTGGGTTGATGGACGTACTCCTCCGCTGAGTTATCGTCGTGCTGCCGAGACCGGTACTTCTTGGCGGCAAAGACGGCCAAGCAGACAAAGGCAGCTCCCCCCACAGCGAATGCAATCGGTGTGGACATCGACGACGACGACGATGCGGCGTCGACCGATTCGACCAAGGTGGTCGAGAGTGTCGAGGTGGTAGTTGGGACGTTCAAGGTAGTAGATGCGGTGGTCTTGTCCTGTGTTTGGGCAGTGGTAGTAGGCTTCAGTGTCATCGTCGGGGTGGCGATAGGTTGAACTGAGGTAGTCGTCGATGGCGCAGCAGTCGAAGTTGGAGGATTCGCAGGAAAGTCCGAGCTTCCTGAACACATGTCGTACCCTGTCGCGCACACGCCAGCATTGGACGGGATGCATCGTCTATAATCGCTTCCAGCAGGATATGTTCTGGAGAGGCATCCTGGACAGTGCCCTTCTGTGGTTTGGCAGATCGTTCCGTCCTGTACCTGGCATTGCAGGGTTGATTCGCAGTTATTGGCTTGGACCGCCGACACAGAGACTAGGAGTGAATGAGATGATGATTGCGTTACATCATGGGTCGAATTGATGCGAGACGTACTCGCAGCGATCAGGATGCTGAAGAGGAGCCCGCGCATGCTTCTTCCTGACGGCGGCGCAACAGAACTGACACTACAGAACTTATCGCTCGGTAGGTGTCACTGGGGAAGTGTCACTATCACTTTAACGTGACGTTTAAAGTACTTCAAAGTACATACTGTACACCAGTCACTGATACAAAACTTATCACATGGTAGGGGAGGTGTCACTTTAACTTTAACGTGACGTTTAAAGTACTGTAACTCGGTTTCATGTCGGCCAATAAGGACTTCTGATTGGCTAAAACTCAACAATTCCGGATAGCACTTGCATGAATGCGAATTTTTGAAGGCCGTTCATGGCAGGCCAGAAATTTATGCCAGGCTGGCACACCTTTTTCACAAAAAATGAAACAGTATTATTGTGGATTCGGCACAAATTTCCAGACCCCGTCGAATCGAATCTCGGCGCCGAATCGAATCACGAATCGACGTTATTGGCGAATCCAATTTTGACTGGATTTGATTGGCTCTGACACAAAAGAAAAGTATATTCAACCAATCAGAACACCGGCGGGATGATTCAATTTTGATTTTCGTTAGACAAACCACGCGAGTTTTGGAAGTATATAGCGAATTCACAATACAACTACTACGTAGTACGTAGTATTATTTTTTGAAATTCAGAGAATATTTTGTCCGGGTACCAGTTTTTGGCCATGAAGATACTACGAAAAAAGTACTTACTGGTATAACGTAACGTATACTACGTAGTAAAAACACGTTTTATTAGGCCAACATAAACAGGAAAAAACGTTGTTGTTATGAAATGCTACTGTTCAGTACTACTACCAGGTATTAATAGTATAGTTCTATTAGTAGTTGACAGTGAATAAATCAAGGCAATTGACCCTGTTGCACATGCTGTGCCGCCGCCCTTTTTGAGGGTATCGTTAATTCTCATCCTCTCAAGATCTGAAGCAAGCAAGCTTCATCCATTCAGTGAATAATCCAGTCGAACAGGTCGAACCAAAGGCTTGACACTCCTTAGAGTTTGGCGATTTTAGTTGTTTATTTGCATACATCAACCCTGAAACCCCGAATCATGATTACCTTTTCGAAATCCATGGTTTTCTACTGGGTGCATCTCTGTAGGTCTCAGTTGTTGAAGTAATACACTGTACCGTACTATCATATGTAACATTAGAACAATTCCCTGATTAACAGTAAAACAGTACAGTACTCGAGTACTGTACTGTTCTATTCTTAGAAATACTGTTTCAAAGTATTGCCATACAGTACAGTATCCGGACAGAGGAGGCAGATAACGCTAATTGCCAAAACGGGCAAACATCCAAACGCAGCACACTGGGCACCTCACCGGGAGATGCGGGAACAGGACACAAACACATTACCATAAAGAAGTAAAGGTCCTTGATTATTCCTTCAAATCATGGTGTACCATTGTCGAGGGAATACATGCAACTTTATTCAAGTTGTCACGTGCGAGTCAACCAGGAGCTGAATCTGCCACTTCCACAACGTGTACATGCGGCGCACAACAGTTACATATTATTATTCGCTTGAGAATATTTATGCTGATATTTCTATTCAGTATGCGTATTTTTATTCATCCCCATAATTATTTACGTTTTGCACAAACGATTTTTACATTCTACAGATTGCGCAGGCGTACTGTACATGCGGGAAAGGCGCGATGCAGGTCAGCGATTTCTCAATGCACACTGCACAACGGGTCACGAAACTCTCTATTCCTCATAACAACAACCAATACTATCAAGATCACTTTGTTGCATGTCGCCTGAATTAACAGCTGTAGAGAGACAACTTCCAACTTCAAATTCGTCGTATTTCAAGAACAAGCGTGTACATGCAGGTAAGATGCCTCATGCCAGAGAGAGCTGTGTATGCACAGACCATGCTTCATAGGCTGAGGTAGTAATGGACTATCTTATAGTACGAGTAGTATTGCTGTAGGTATTACAAGGCTCGAGAAAAGCGTCATCTAAGTTCGTCCATTTTCGATATATGCGCATGTCGTCCGAGTAGCACAAAACATTCACATGCGCAATAAAAATATTGCATCCGCAAAAATAGTGAAATATCCGGAACACTTTTGTTTTCAAAGTGAAACGACGCGCATTTTCAGAATGCACTTGGAGTGAGCGGTAGAAATCGTGTCAGTACAGCAGCCAAAGTCCCTCTCCAATAAGTTGGATGACTGCAAAGAAACTTTAGATATTGCTTATGCCAACCAGAAATGATTCTCGATTTTGGCCTTCCATAACTTCGTGGTGTGATAAGTTTTCGCTTCTCGATTTTGGCCTTCCATAACTTCGTGGTGTGATAAGTTTTCGCAAACAGTTCCCGCATCTGCACAATTGTATGCTGGCTGTATTACGTACGATTGGTTGATTTTGATTGGCAGTTTCTTCGACAAATTTCCATGACAACACACGATTAATGTACGGTAACCATATCCGAACAACAATAGCGAAGTCAGACTTTAGGATTGCTTTTGATCTTCCCCATCGACAATACACGGGGGTGTCCAAAGCTACCACCACGCCATGTTGTGTTGGCTGCACCTGGGTGTGAGCCAAGTGGTGGTGGTGGGCGTGTGATCAGTCCGACCACCGTTGCGATCGCGATTTGATTTAAAATTCAACAGACAGACGAGTTTCGTTGTCGCGGATCTTGCCATCGCCACTCGCCGAGTTGCCAGTGCGACGCAAGCTGCTTCCGTCCGAGAGGAAGCTGTCGTTTCCAGAATAACTTGCCACGTCATTTTCGCGGTAGCTCGACGGCACGTTGCCCCAAACGTCGGTGTGCACGGATTTTTGACGCGGGCCTTCGGTCACAACTGCAGCAGCTGCCGCGGGCGCCGCAACACCCCCAGGCACATTGTCGGATACCTGACTTGTGGGAGGATCGAGATTGGCTCGGAGGTTGGAAGCTGCGACGGCAGGCTGCTCCGACGGGGGTGGGTTATTGTTATTCGAGTACGGATTGTACTGCGCTTGTTCCGCGGCGGTGGGTTGTTTGTACGATGATATTTCGTCGTCCTCGTCGTCTTCTTCGCGGCGCTTCATACGAAGGACAAGGAGCGCGACAAAGGCAATGACAACCGCCGCCCCCACGCCGATGCCAGCGTACGTGATCCATCCAGCCCCAGTACCTGCGTCGTCTTGCTTTGGTGCTGTCGTCGTAGGTTGGGTCGTGGGGACTTCTAACGCAGACGTTGCGACGGGTGTGGTCGTGGGTTTCGTGGTGACGCTTGCCTTGGTCGTGGTAGGGACCGCTGTGGTTGTGTTGATGGCTCTCGTCGTCGTCGGAGCTGCGGTGGTTCTGATAGGTTTTACGGTGGTAGTCGGCGCCTCGGTTGTTTCTACGGGGGCGGTCGTTGGATTCTCCGGGTTGTCGGGAGCTTCCCAAGTGACATTGCACTTCTTATCGCCAAAGCCCAGGACCGAGCAAAAGCCTAACGTCGGAGACGTACATCGAATCACTTTGATGTCGAGGGACAAGCAAACAGGACACTTTTCAAACTTTCGGTCGCAGGTCGCATCGTTGTCCCTTAGACAAAACCGGGACAGACACACATCCGACGTAGCGGCGCGCGTCACGCCTGTCATCACGTGAGAGAGGGTTCCATGCGGTCGAGAGAGGAGGTACTGTACCTGTCGTAGTTGCCAAGACAGCGGCTACCGCCAATGCATATGCATGCCTCATCATGGTTGCGACCGTGCACGACGACGTAGAAAGTTTGGTTTGTTTGCTGTGTGTCAAACGTTTGAAGCCAGTGTGGTAAAAACACCCAACCTTGCCATACTAAAAACAAGTCACCAAATCCACCTGGAATAAACGCGAAAAATACGAAAAAAGATATCCAAAAAGGATACACTCTGATTTAACGTTATGGACAGAGAATAATAACGTTACTGTATCCCCACAAACCTACTGTAGTACATACACCGGTATGTCCCAACTCGATTTAACGCTATTGACAGAGAATACTTTGAAGTAATACTTGAAGTAAATACTGTATCTCCACAGCACCCAACTGTAGTACATATGTCCCAACTCGATATTGGGACATCAGATGGGACAAAATCTTCCATGTAAATTTGGGCCAGTTTGTCCAACTAATAATTGTCCCAAAAATAGAAAAATATATAATTTGTATGGAAGTCCATTCCTACAGTTCCCAATGCCGGATTTGGACACATCGACCAGCCGGCATCGTGAACCACTAGTTAGTATTGTGCTTTTCATGTATTCTGGCTATTCAAGGCCTAAATCCGCGGTTTAAAAAAATTTCGTCGTTGAATTAGTCCTGTCCGGCCATTATATTACGGTTGATGAATTCATAATTTTACGGATTGCGATGTTTAAACAACTGCATACGCAACGATGATTGGCAAAGTAATTGATGGCGTGTCAGAGTTTAAGCTTAATCACCTTATTTTACCATGATCAGCATTCACATGCGCTGGACATGCGTTGTCCTCGTTCAAGTCTACGGAATCGAAACCGAATGTGTGTGCCTCCTCCTTGGCATCTCCGGGCGTAGTGTAACAAGGTTCAACAAGATGTTTTCGACAACTGGCCATGTCTGCAACACCAAGAGGCGGGTCCGGGAGAAGAGATGGCCGCCGGAAGTGAACTCATGGGTCAGCGAGCACGCCATCGCGCATCCCTGCTTCTACATAGAGGAGGTCGCAGAGGCGCTGCGACTACAGTTCCCGTCGCTCAACAACATCTCAGCGTCTACGATATGCAGAGCGCTCATGCATGATCTAGGATTAACGCGAAAAGGTATAATTGAGCATATTTCTTGCATTAATTCTCAAGTAAATAATCCTAGAGAAACGAGCCCGCGAGGCTTCTGAGTTTGAACTTCGGGACTACAATCGGCGCTTAAGCCCGTACTACTCGTACCCTGATCAACGGGTCTTTGTCGATGAGACATAAAAAAACGGCCGGAGCACAATCCGCAAGTACGCTTGGTCAAAGCGGAATCAAAAGGCGATTGTGGACGAGTTTCCGCTCTGGCTGCATTTACGACTGCAGGGTTTTTGTCTTGGGAATATGTCGATGGTATGATTCATATTTATTTTTGAGTTTTTTGTTTGGGATTCACATTAATAATTAATTAATGTAGGGACTTTTGACCGTGTGAATTTTCACGACGCCATGGCCCGGAAAGTTTTGCCGTATTTGAACCCTTGGCTATTGCCGCGCTCGATATTTATCGTGGACAATGCGAAAATTCACATTACAAAGAACTGCAAGACGCAGTCCATGCCCGAGGCGCATTATTGTTTTTTTTGCCGCCATATTCCCAGAAGTTGAATCCCATTGAAGTTGGTTTTAGCCTTCTGAAGCGCTGGATCGGAAAATATCCCATGGCATTCCGCTTCAACATTCGGTCAGTATTAGAAGTAGCATTTGTGGAATGCACAAAAAAGATGAGCAGATGGACTCAATTTGTACCGTCACTGCGGCTACAATTCCACAGATTTAGACAAAGATACATTATTAATGGAATGATCTGAAATTATTCATTAATGTGATCACTGGCCTCAACATTGACGCTGGCCACCGGATTATCTCCCACTACTGGCGCCCTAAATATTGGTGTCAAGTCGAACGGGGGAATTCCCAGAATGCCACGCAGGTCTTCTACCGCGAGGAAAATGTCTACAGGGGAGCTGGCCATCGTGCTAAGGTGCATACGCACCCTGCGGTACGTGTCGGTTGACTGGGAGAAACTTTCGCGGTGACGGGCGGCAGCGTGCTGGGCGAGCATGCTGTCAATGTGGCCAAGCTGGTCCATTGTTGCATTCGACGGGATTTCGACGGGGGCAGTCACGGGCAAACGGGCAGCAACGACCCCCGTATAATCCGTTTGGAGCGGTCCAAGCACGATGTTTTGGTCGCGAATATAATCCGCAACTCTGAGCGCTGACGTTGCAATGTTGCTTGAGGTTGCGCGTCTTATTGCGGTGCTTCCCGCTTTTTCTAAATGCCACAAAAATATTTTGGTTAATTGCATCCTTCAAATTCAACAATATTTGTTTTGATTTATAGGACGTTAATGTTGTGTTACCGATGTAGACAAACAGCAAAAAGTTGAATGATGCTTATGCATTTCGAATCTTGCTGGCATTGTCCCATAGTTGTTGGAGCACATCCGAGTAGTTTTGCAGCGTCAGTTGGACGTATTTATCCTGCGTTGTGTTTGCGGCCACCTTTACGAAGATGTCGCTGGGGGTAGTTTGGGTAGCAGGGTCCCAAGAGAGCTTAACGTTCGTTGGGACAGCATGGTGTTCGGCGACAGCGGTCGTGACGGCATCCATCACAGACGCATGAAGTACCCCAAACCCCAAACCCCAAACGACGTACCAGTCGAGATGGTCAACTCAGTTGGCTTTCCGACAATAGTTCTGCTCTTGCCCAATGGACGCCAACCTTGGTTGCCACTTGACATCGAGAGGAGTCCGGGAACTCGACGTTCAACCGCTCGCCTTGCATGTTGTTTTACGGATGGTGATTGTCGAATTTAACGTCATTACAAGTTTAGCACAGGTGCCAGATTCATGGTTTGCGTTGAAAAACGTTCTTGGCCCCGTGGTTTTATTCCTATCACCCCCTTGTATTATGAGCTAAAAGAACGGGCAATCTTCATGCAAAGCACAATACTACTATTAATACTACTCCCTCCGTCCCAAAATTGTGGAGCGAGTTTGGGGAGGGGGGACATGTCTCGTCATTATAATTGAGAGTGTAATTCAAAATCCAACGTATTGCGCCTCGCTTCGAGTTCTACAGCGCTGATTGGACAAGAATGACAAGCGCGCCAAGCGCTTTAACATGATGTACGCAGCGCTTGAAACTTCTTAACGTAACATTTTCAACTCCAGGCCGAAAGTCTATCACTCAAAATGGCACCTGGAAGGCAGGACTTGACCAACGACTAGCGCGAAGCGATACTCCGCTGCATATTGACATTGAACTTACAACAAACCATACGAACTGTCCTTTGAGCTGGAATGCATCGCGTTGAACAGCGAGTCCTCCGACGATGTCATGAGTGTGCTGAATGACAATGGCATTGAACCAATTAGTATAGATGAGTAGATAGATAGATAGATGTACATATTGTATAATCAAGTGGAAGTTACGGCCATAGGTAGTCGGCTTGGTGTGGTCGGTGGGAGGGTTCTCGGGGTAAACCCCCCTCCTGAATCCATTGGCGTCGTCAGAAATCGTGAATTCCGTTTTCGGGTTGCGTGAGACAGTTTTGTATCGTTACAAACTCTACAACTTTATCTTTGACAAGATTATGTTTTGCAGCGACTCGTAATTTTATTCAAGGAGGCACAAGCCAAAAAACTGATTCGCTCCACAATTGTGGGACAGAGGGAGTAATAATTACGTACTGAGAATAATAACGTTACTGTATCCCCACAAATCCGGCATGTCCCAACTCGATTTAAACGTTATTGATAGAGAATACTTTAAAGTAATAAATGTGTATCTCCACGGCATCCTACTGTAGTACTGTACGTATGTCCCAACTCGATATTGGGACATCAGATGGGACAAAATCTTCCAATGTAAATTTGGGCCAGTTTGTCCAAACTAATTGTCCCAAAAATAGAAAAATATACTTCGAAGTATAATTTGTATGGAAGTCCATTCGTACAGTTTCCCAATGCCGGATTTGGACACATCGACCAGTCGGCATCGTGAACCACTAGTTAGTACTACTATTAATACTAATAATTACGTACTGTAGTAGTATTGTCCTTTTACCCGAAATTTGGACTTTTGTGCTGATTCACCAATCTATCGATCCATTCTTTGTACTGACTTTTGTATGAAAAATCGTGCAGGCTAAGAGTGGATGTGATTGGTTACTTGATTCGTGTTCTTTGTTTTGATTGGTCGATTGATTGTCTACCGATTGCTCGTAATTTCGAATCGACTTTTTCTCACTCTTCGACTCTGGAACTCTACGTCGTTGTTCCATCCACATGATGGCCAGTCTAAAATCTTCATTGCATTTTGATCATATTACGCCGGTGTCCACTGTCTACATTGTGCAACGCTTCCCACTTCACATGGACATGACTTGCAGTAGAAAGAGCCCAGGTCGAAGGTGAAATTTGCTCTTGCCATCCAGGAGCTTGCAAGGCATCTCCGACAGTGTAGAGCGAGTACTCGTTCGTCCGCCTTTGTCCTTTTGCGTACCCACTCCAGTGCGTGCTTCATGGACGGCAAACCACGGGGGAGGAGGAGGGCTGTCCTTGCGATGCCTTCAAACGCATCCAAACCGTCGCGCAAACTTGCTGCCACTTCATATCCATGTGCATTGGCAGTGCCTATGCTGCTGCCACCTGCAGAGGAACGTCCTGTGGCAGGACAATGGACGTGTTCTTGAACACTTCTTCTACCGTGGGGTTTTACCATACCTCAAAGTCATCATCCGTTGGACATGTCAAGAAGATATGTGCGTACCCAGCATATGCTGGCGCGGCCAGTTCCCGTGGCACAAAACACAACGCGATCGAAGCGAGTGCCTACCAAGGGCTGGAACAGCACCACAATGTCTCGCTCGTGGTGGCAATTGAAGAAGAGCGTGGTCGGAGGCGAAAGGTCGTCTGCGACGCTGCTTTTAAACCAAGTCACACAACACGCAACGCTCAACGGCGTGTGCACGCCGTCGAGGTGGAAAATCGCGCCAGATTGCGGGTCCACCACGCGCTGAGCTCGACCTATCCACGTTGTACCTTGGAGCCCCTTTAGCACGGTCGGCGTGATGGCGTCGGGCAGTGGAGGCATCGGTGTGTCTGCTTTAGCAGCCAGCCACGTGGAAGCCAGCGCCACAGCCAAGCCTGCGTTGACCTGCTGGTACTGGCCTATGGAGGGGCGGTGAAGAAGGTGAACAAACTGTCTGCGGAATGTACCATGCATACTCAGGGCCATGGCCAAGACGTCAGGAATGAGGTCGTAGTAACATGTGTCCAACGAAGGCACGACTGTCAAAGGGCTTTGCTCCGTTGCTGCACAAGCTACGAGTACTTCTGCAGCCTCTGACGCCTGTGTGATTGTAAACACTGGCACGCCGGCCTTGATGATACCAGCTTTCTACGAACATACGTGAGCAAAAGCACTTTCATCTCGTGCACTCGGTAAAGAAATACCTCGCGGGCGATCTTGGTCAATGTACCCCCGAGGATGCGAGTGTGGTCGTAGTCCAGCGCCGCGATGCCGCACACGACGGGCTTTTCAATCACGTTCGTGGCGTCCAAGCGCCCGCCCAATCCGACTTCTAAGATGGCAACGTCCACTTGCTCAAGCACAAACATGCGCAACGCCATCACGTCAGCGCGGTAAAGTAGTTGGGAATGCGCGGGTACGATGTCCCCAGGTCACGCTACAAGTTCGGTTTGACGTCCATTCGGACAATACTGTCGCTTGCTTTGGGTACCTCTTCAGAGCATTTTCACTCAGGATATTTGCCGTTGCACCTAGCACGTAGGCAACACTTTGAAATATGTACTGGACTACACCATTTGGAGACTCAAGCCACACTTCGCAACTCCCATGTGTGTATTAACGAGTTTATGACCACCAGCAAATGCAAATGTGAATCCAGAATGCATTGTTAAGTTGGTTAGAAAACTAGCGTCACCGGTCATGTGATGACCGCAACCACCATCGAGTGTCCATTCACGACTACTCATTTCACGACGAGTTAGTAAATTCGGACACTGTAATTTAAAACCTGGTCCTTCTTTACGGATAGGTCAGGCATGGATGCCGCCATCGTCTCGACACGAGGAGTGGACGTCGTGTCCACAGCCAACGCGGGCGAGTAGGACAGCAAATTGCTATCATCAGGACACGAAAACATGTCGTCCATAGACATGCCCGGCAGGTCAAATTCTTGACGGCTTGGAGGCGATGTAGACAACGCCACTTCTTCACGCCTCACGACGGCGCCGCAGGCCACTTCGGTGCGAACATCACGACCCTTGGGCACCGCATCTTCGATTCGCCGCGGGTCTTCGAAAATCGAACTTCGCGCCCAGCCTCGCCGAAAGTCATCCTGGCGCTTAGGGCAATCCCACTTCATGTGGTCCACGCCGTTGACGTTGTATTTGCCTTCACAGTAGAAGCACTTGCGGCTCTTTGAAGTTGCCTTGGAAAACGCCTTTCCGGTGTCATGACGCTTGCCTTGATTGGCTAGATTTCCGGATGATTTTCGTTTCCCATGGTTCAGATTGGAGGGAAAGTTAGCGTAGCTAACCGGAATAACCAATCATGGAGTTTGACCTCCCATGGTCAAAATTGCATGTTTCTTCTTTTGACCAAAAACTCCAACAAGTTTAGCCTCTACCTCAGCTAGGTTAAAAGACCCATCGTACTTGATTTGTGCACCATAAAACTGAGAGGGTAGTTCATTCAATGCCATGTAAATGATCAAGTCATCAGTCACACTGTCGCGACCAAGGTGTTGACGAGATTGGGCATTGATCAGGTTCTTGAGGGACTTCATCTCGCCAAACCATGACTGGATGTTGTCAAAAGGCTTTTGAGCCGTTTTAATTAATTGACCCATATAACCAGTCACAAATGAAACATTCGAAGCCCCGCAGCGACTTTCGACTTCAGACCACACCTCATGCACAGGAGTTTTTCCATCAGTCGTGTCACGTAGCTGCTGGACAAACGACTTAGGTAGAAGACTATACAGGTAGAAGCGAACCTTTTGCTCTGTTCTCTTCCGATTGTACAAGTGCCACCGGTCATGCGCTTCATTGCCAGTCGAGATAATCGGCGGCTCGCAATGCAACCAGTCCTCATATTTGATTTGAGGCTCGGGCAATGATTTTGGTTCCTTTAAGTAGTTACCAACCATCTCAAGGGTCATTCCCTCCAGGTAGCTAACAAAGCTTTGGGACCACACACGAAACGAGGACTTCTTTCCGTCGAACACCAGAAGACCCAAGTCCGAGGTAGACTTTGATGAAGCAGACGAGATCACCATACTTGAAATATCAGATAAATCCAAGCAATACGTATCATGCTAAAAAATCAATCGACACACACACAAGCAGAGTGGCTCAGTTCGGAGGTGGTAAATTGAGTTGTGTACCATTCATTACAATCCTCTTCACATCACAGCCAAGGCACTCAGATAGCCACTAGACTGTTGCCACAATCTGATTGGCTAAAACATACAACACACGTGCGTATCACATGCTCTACACCACACGTTAATTGGTCAATTCTCATGATGGCACATCACCAGTATTCCATTATTCCGGATAACTAATTTTATCCGACAAGATGTATGTACGTACAGTACAAGTCCGCGCCAACTATTATCCGGATATTTTATAGTATGCTTGGGATTTTGACCTTGGATCTGAGTCCTTTTCAGTGCCATATTCTGCACTGAATTCAATAAATTTGAGTGTGAAGGATATTCGTTCGCATGGTGACACTGACTTTTTAGCCGCAATTCTGCGAAAATTAATACAGTATAAGTAGATAAGATATGCATGGTCATTTTGAAGTCCACCCAATGCCATGGAATGGCCGACTCATGTAGTAGCGGAATCAACCGATGGATTCGTCCGACGAGGAAATCGACGTCATCATAACTACGGCAGCCCAAGAAGCAGTCCGCCAAGCCGCAGCTATGCTCTCACGATCATGGAGCGGGTCTCGTCGCGGTCGCCAGCCAAACTTGGATCGAAACCGGGCTGATGAGCATCAGCAGATTGTTGACAATTACTTTGGAGAGAACGGGAAGCCACCCAGCTTAAAAGATAATATAGGTCTGTCGCAATTACAGAAGTGCTCTGCGTCGATGCGTATGCTGGCCTATGGCGTCTGCGCTTACTCGATTCACCATCGTCGCCTTGGTGAATCGACAGCCATCGAACCCATGAAGCGCTTTGCAAGGGGTGTCGCCTCAGAGTTACTACCCTTGATTCGATCCTCAGACGCTGCTACTGTACCCATGTCTTGGAGAGTAACTCGTTCTCCATGTCGTTCATCGATAACGCCATCGTCTCCAGCAATTGAAAAGTATTTCGTGTAGAGTAGTTTGTATACCGTACAAATGTCTTGTTATTAGATGAATTCGGCGCAAAACCTCGATTCGGCATTTTTTGTTAAAACTACGTGTGGAATGGTCAAGACTCAGGGCCCGGGGTTCTGAAACTCAGTTTCAGTGTCGAATTCAGTGTTGGGGTGGGGGTAAATTCAGGGTCAAAATATCATCGACACTGAGTAATATTCAGTTTCAGGGTCATATTCCGTGTACGGTGGAGATGCTCTAGGGCCTGTTCGGACCGACTTTTCCCGAACAACGCTGAAAACTCAACGACTTTCAGCTGCAAATTTCTGTGATCTAATTGGATAAATTCCCACCAATAACAACTTTCGATTTCAGCACCACACTTCGACCATTCATCGACAGTAGAAACTGATGGAGGAACTGGTTCTTGTCGTCGACTCAGCGCCACCACCAGCAGCTCCTCCCAATCCCACCCCCAAGCGTCGTCCCAATGTCAAGCCAGTCGCCGGAGTGCTGAAAGCCCCCAAGACCGTGTGGACGACTGAAATGGTGACAACGCTCCTCGACAAGCGCTGCGACGACTACAAAGAAAGAGGGAATGGTACGCCTAACGAAGTTTTGAGAACAGCTGTCCCCCTTTTAGCCAATAGAGACAGAGTCCTCGAATTCGAGCAGATAATTGAACAATAATAATATTATCCCGCCGGCGCGAATTTTTCGAATTGACTTGCAACCTTGCCCTCACAAGTGTCAGCTTTGATTTCGCAATGCAGGAAGCCCAGCGCACACCAAAGCGCAGTTACACTGTCGCAACAAAGCAGGAAGTACTTGGACTAGTGGAAGCTGGCCTCGTCGACTACAAGGTGTCTGAGCTACTGGGTATTCCACGTCGAACAATCCGAACATGGATTGACCAGAAATGGGACATCCTGGCCTATGACGGTAACGAAAAGCCCAAGAAGATCGTCCCTGGTGGCCGTCCCGAAACCTTCCCTGGCCCAGACGGACTCGTTCTTTTAATGAACGAAATGCGTGAACAAGAAAGAGCCATGACGACAACGCATATCGTCAACTGGATTAAGCAGCATCAAGCGGACTGGCTGCGCTCCTACGTTGCGCGGAAGAAGCCTGGCGCCGGATACCAAAGTCTGCTGAGGCTTCTTCAACGGTTCTGCCATCGACACGGCTTCTCACGTCAACGGCCTGGGAAGAACAAGCAAAGCCAAGCTGCCTTGGTTGAGGTGCGCGACAAGTTCGCAGTGGAGTTCCACCGCGAGTACCGAGGGTTTGGTCCTGAGACCATCTACGATGTGGATGAGACTGGGTTTCACTGTGACATGCCGCCCAAGTACAATTTGTCTGCTTGAGGGCGTGATGCCAAGATATCGACTGGTGAGAAGCATTCTCTTCGAATGACTGCTGTTCTCACCGTGCGTGCTAACGGCGACAAGCTGCCAATCCTCTTTGTCATCCGTGGAGCTCCAGGTGGCCGCATCGAAACGTCTGAACTGCCGCTGTTTCCACGTGGCCATGTCTACGCTGTGCAGCAGAAGGGGTGGATGGACAACACCGTGTGGAACATTACCTGCGGACGCTGCTTGCAAACAACCTGTCCGACCACTCCGTTGTCCTACTCGACAACTTCGCGTCTCATGTCAACGATGACTCCTACCGTATTGTTCACGAGGAGTTGGGTAGCCTGCTTTGTCCCATTCCCCCCAAAGCCACGTCATTTTGTCAGCCACTTGGTGACGGTTTTTGGGGTGATGGCGCCATTCAAGCGTTAATTGCGTGATGCTTGGCTGACCGAAGAGATGATCGACGGCTGGTCAAAAGAGATTAGCAATGGTGAAACGAGCCATCGTGGCATGGGATCGCGTGTCACCAGTAGATATTCGCAGGAGCTTTGAGAAAGCTCTCCCAGTCCCTACTAACACTTGAGTAAATGGTGTGTTCATGCATCGCATTGATGGTCCTGCATGCCAAAGGCACTTTTCAGCCAATGATTTGTTGTGGATATAAATATGGTAAAATTAAATATGTTGCCTATGTCTAATTGTGTTGTTGTATGCAAATTATATTAATTTTGAAAAAAGCTTCACACTGCCCGGGCTCGAACCCGGGTCCTTTCTATCATCATGGATAGAAAGGACCCGACGTAGAAAGGACCCGACGGCATCCATGATGATTTCTATCATCATGGATGCCGTCGCGCTAACCGTTGCGCCACAAACGCTATCTTCGTTTCGCGTTCGTAGTTTACAGTAGTCGACAGCTGTGAGGGGGCTTCTGATAATATGTATCGATTATGAAAGGATTTTTCTCAGATTTTCACCTATTCTTATGCATAGAATGAAAAACGCGTTTATTCGATATGGAACTTTATTATGTAATACAGTTAAAAATGACTCATGTTGAAACTTTGCAACATCGCTTTAGCGAGAATATCAACATTGAAGATGTGTTTAAATGCTCACTTTGTAGCTTGGCCTGTGAGCTACAATGTTCATATTATCTGTTTATCGCTAGCATTTATACAACAATAGTGGGTGTCAGAGTTGCCACAAGTTCGTGGCAACAAGTAACATGATTTGTTTTGATTGGTTGAAATAGAAACCTTGCAACTTGTCGGAGCTGCCACCACTTGTCAGAAATTCTTGACAAGTCGACAAGTAACGAGTCTGGCAGGGAAAATGTTCGATTTCGATGGATAGCATTTGAGAGGATCTAGATAGCGATTCGACAATCCAACCTCCACACCTGCAGCGACCAGACACCTCGATATGCCACCACGCAAGGCAGCTTCCTCAAGAGCTGATGCCTCGACCGAGCGAACTATATCCAAGAGAGTTCTATGGACCAAAGATGCGGTGGGCGACGGAAAATCCAGCATGGATGCTGTGATTGCGTGGATGTCTGTGGAGACAAACTGCGTGCGCTGGAAAGGCGGCGACAAGCACAGCGGTTCGACCAAGGCCTCTCTGGCCTCCGAGGTTGTGGAACGGCTCAAGACCAACGGAATCCACCATCGTACAACCAAGGACGTCGTCCAGAAGATTGGCGATATCGAGCGATCGTATCGTTCTGCCTGCGATTGGCTCGCCAACACTGGGCAGGGCATCGTCGACGAGGACAGCATCCCAAAGGAGGTACAACGGCTTTGTCCATACTACTATGTGCTGGACGAAGTGATGCGGGATCGTGCATCGACGGCACCACTCGTAACAAGTGACAACCTGCAAGACGGTAATTCGAGCGATGAAGACGTTCCTCCGACTCCAGTCAATGCGCCCAATTCAGCCAAGAAGAGAACGGCGGCAGCGGCGAAGATGGATGACTGGAGCGAGATCAGTGCGCGTGCGTATGCGCTGAAGAAGGAACAGCTGGAGTTTACCCGTGATGTGGAGAAGCAGAAGCTAGAAGTGGACAAGCAACGCGAGGCCAGATTGACCGAGGAAACCAAACTCAATGTTCGGCTTTTGACGATCCAAGCCGAGGAAGCGCATTGGAAGTTCGAGCTTGAGCGTGAAACTGCAGAAGTTGATGCACGCATTAGAAAGATCCAAACAAGAAAGGATCTAAAAGAACGGGGGTGGAGTGATGTGGACATCAATTTAGCATGTCCAATGTAATAAACTCTGTGAATTGGAAAATTGGAAACGTAATTAGTTAAAAAGGGTAGCCTGTGTCAACAAGAACTTCTTCGACTATACTACTGCGTTTGTCAGCGCTCTCGATTGCGTCGCCATGTTCCACTGTATTGATGGGAAAACATACTCGACACCCACGCAAATCAGCATTGCAATTGCAGTTGACTTGTAGCTCGATCCACGATGCTGGGACAATGTCGTTCTCGGTGACCAAAACGTTGTGCAGGATTGATGCCGCAATGATTGTTTTGATGATGGACGTCATGGCAGCTTTTCCATCCATGATTTTGCGAATTCGTTTTAAATGTTGGAATCGGCCCTTCAACATTCCAATGGAGTGCTCAGCTTTGATACGGCCTTTTGCAAGATGCGAATTAAACCACGATTTGTGATGTTCCATGGCTTGGTGAGTTTGGGTTTTGAATGCAGGTACCAGGCAAGTAGATATTTGGTACGCAGAATCACCCAACAAATATTGACTCCGATCAAAGTATTGCCTGGACAGGTTGAACAACTTGCTGTTGCGCCAAATTCGGTTGTCGTGAGTTGACCCAGGCCACCCAGTGTAAATGTCGCGAATGATAGCCCGGTGGTCACAAACAATTTGAGCCGCTACAGCGTAGCACCCCTTGCGAGAGTAGTAGTCCTCACCATGCAACGTGGGCTTGAACTCAAACGGAAAAAGGGTACCATCGATGAAGCCAACGCAGTTCGAAAAGCCACACATACTTTTAACTTCGGCAGCAATTGAAAGGGTTTCGGCGTGATTCGGCCAGTATATGAATTGACCACGCAGCAAAACAATGGCATCGGTGGTACGTCCAATGAACAGACTGACTGTGCCGGCACCAATGTCAAAGAACGACGCCATGTGCTCGTTCGAAACGGCATTTCCATTCGCTCCCATGTAGTACAAGAACACGAGCAAGTGGTGGGACACTGGGCTTTTGGCGACTTTGCCACGCACGACCGCAAACACTGACTGTTGATCAATAAGAGCGACGATGCTGTTAAATGAGCGACGCTCCATCCGAAACAGCTTGCGGAAACGAGACTCCTTGATTTCGTACAAGAAATGGTGGAACCGTGTACGCGTGAATGGGTCGCAAGACCGCACGACAGAATAACACTGGTGCTCAATTGTGCGAAGTATGTGCAGGAGCTCGTGGTCCAGGTCATCTTCGTCACTGTCACTCTCATCAAACAGGTCGCGGCAAAGTCGCATGATCCGGCGACGTTCCACCTGAGAGCGTGTATGTCGCAAAGTGAGTTGTCGGTCACTGATCTTCACCATGATGCTGCAATTTGTCGCTTGAACTTGTTGCCAGGGGTTTCACAGTACATACAGTATACATTCAGAGGTCTGCTATTGGCTATTATTAGAACTAGCTCGTAACTTGTCGCCACGAACTTGTGGCAACTCTGACACCCACTAATAATTATTCCCAAAGGCCCCCTCACAGCTGTCGACCACTGTTAAGTGAGTAATCAATTTGCTAATCTTGTAGTTAGTTCATCGTCAAATCCGATACAGCGCTAGCACAAGCAATGCCATTTCCCAGTCCAATTGCAAATTTTAATAACCTCCAACAAAAACTGCCCTGATTGGCTATAAAAACAATCGAACTTCGCAAGCCGCTAACCAATAAGCAACCACGTTTCATATCAGGCCATGTTAGGCGTACCATTCCCTCTTTCTCTGTACACAGCAAGCTTCGAGCTGCATCGGAGCTCGGCCTAGCTGTCAATCCTGTGGGGAAAGATTGCACTCGCCATCAATGGATTACTCAGGACAAGCGTTCCGGCCGTGGCAGTCAAGAACAAGTACACGAGTCTCAAGCGTGAGTTTTCGACGATTCGCCTGGCAGAGGGAGCCACAGGAAACGCGGTTGGTGTATCCGCAGTATTGGGACGAGCTTGTCTCAGCTCTTGGTAGCAAAGACGGCATTAGTCACATTGACTATGCATTCGGTGCCTCTGGTCAAGGCGACGAAGCGGACGGCGGTGGAAATGAATGCTGTGACGACGCAACTACGTCAATCAAGGAGTTCAAGCGGCAGGCTGTGATCGACGTGGAGCTGTCGCGGCAAAGAGGAAAACGTCCAAAGCGTATGGACATTGCGCAAAGCCTTGTCACCTTAGGTGAGAGCTTAGCGCAAGGCATGAAAGGCATGCATCAGCCACGTGACGATGCACCTGAGCGTGAGACTAGTAAACTCCTGGTAGCAATCGATAAATTGAAGGTAGCTGTTGAGCAAAGTACTTCAAATCAAAGCGAACTATTTAGTTTTCTGCGCCGCAACAATTAAAGTTCAAATATATTGTTGATTCAAACGAATTCATTAAGGTATCGTTTTACACTGTCTCGTGTGGCTTTGCAATATCGTTGTCAATGGAATATTCTTCGCTGTAATGAACAATATCACCACCAAGATGCATCCAATCACGTGAAGCAGGTTGAGATGAAGAAGGCTCCAGGTCAATAATCCAATTTTGCAACACTAAAGTTGCCTCAATTGTTTGAGCCATTATTCTGCTGATTGGAGTTCAAGAGGCTTCTTGAGCAAACGGAATTTGTTTTTCCAAAGTCCAAAACACTGCTCCACAACAATTCGAGTACGAGAGTGCAGAAGCTTGTAGTGTGCCTCGGCTTTGTCCAAATTGGGAACAATTGGGTACGGGGTCAGTACATGTGGGACTAGAACGTGTAGCCGGCATCAGCTAAAATAAAGCCACCAGAGGGAATGCACCTTGCCGACCCAAAGATGGAGTTGCGAAACAACATACGGTCGTTCTGGGACCCCGGTCGCAGCGAGTAGGCCATGAACCGCTTTTGATCATCCACCAACGCCGTCAAGTTGAACGCCGGGATTCCCTTTAGACAATACAAGCCCTCGTGATGTCTGAATCGTTTTACCATAACAAGGCACCCGTCGACGGCTCCGTACACAATTGGAAACCTAGCCACCGCTTCAAATCCTGGTATATTATTGATATAATTTGTATTTTAAGAGTTATTTTTTAATAATAATTTTAAACAATTTAAAACATTTTTCTTATATCTAATCAAAAACAAAATGTTTTCTGATAAATATAATCTTATAAATAAGGATTTATTTTAAGTAGAATAATTTGTTTTCATTAAATATATTTATTTTTCTAACTGAAAAATTAATTGAATAAAAAAATTATGTACTGAAATTCAGATGCAGATGTTATCAAAAAATATCCATAAAAAATAATTTATTTATTTTTATTATATAAGCCGTAATTTGTTTTTAAATTATATATATATATATATTTATTAAAATGCAGCAATTGCCCGCCACGCAACAATGGATGACGGCAGCACAACAGTTGACCCCAGGTGCACACGTTGCAAAAGCACAATGATTTCGTTCACGTGGTCGTAGGCCTTTGTCTTTCCAATGCCAAACACCAGGGCAGCGCAATCCAGTCCATCGCTGTGGGTCAGGTAGTACAATTCCAACGCCGTTCTGTCAACCACGTCAAAGTGGCATGATCGGTGCAATGGGGGATGACATGATGTCCAGGATACTTGTAGACGTCCGGCAATAACAAAGAAGGCGTCGCGTGAACACCTGAGGTAGCGAACAAACCAGCCATTTTGACCACCACTTGCCTTGACAGCTGGCCAAAACAAAAGACAATCCATCTGTGACTTTGTCATTCTCGGGCTCTCGCGGAAAGGTTCGACCGTCAAGCAACGTGAGTGTCGCAGCGATAGCTACGACCGCGCAAACCAAGGGAACGACGTCCATGTCAATTCTCGCTTTGAATTTTAGCCAATCCAGAGGTTATATCGCCAAAGTCGCTGTAAATGACCTCTTGGAGGTGATTTGGAGCGACTTTTGTTGAAGTCGATGGAAACGGATATGATTGGCTAGAATTCTAAACACCGATGTTGCAAAAGTCGGTCCGAACCGGCCCTAAGTAGTTTTTTAGATTCTCCTATTTTTCAATACAAAAGTCAATATTATATCAACCACTAGTACTGTATGTACTAATAAATGCACCAAGATCTAAAATCAAATTCTGGATCTTGCCTGACCGAGCATCTCCTGTATCATTTTGGAACTATAAAGCCGACTGGACGACGACCTTGCACTATTGCATTCTTCGTAGTGCATAGATTTGAGATCCAGGAATAATGTTTGACGGTGAGATCAGCAGAGTGAGTTCCAACGAGCTGAAAAGTGCAAATTCATTGAATTTTGACCTGAATCTCAGTTTTGGATATCAGGTTCCACTACCTTCATTATTTTATCCAATCAATGAACGTAATGGTTTTGATTGGACATAAATACAGTGAGGCTGACATACTTGTGCCTCGTATCACTACAGACGACTTAGGGACACTTGGTACTTCGAGTTTGGCAAAAAATCGGATTATGATTGGCTTACGAACTACGAAAGTCATTGTAGCCAATCACACAGCAGAAGCTTCAATTTTGCTAATTTTGAACACGCGCATATTTTATATTGATTGGTTTGATGATTCAAGACAAGAGATAAGGGTTTGACGCGGTGGCGCAGTGGTTAGTGTGCCGGATTTCTTCAAGTCCCGGGTGTGTCAATATTTTTTCTACCTCATACAATGGTCAATTATGTTAATAGTACATTTAGATTCAGTCCTAATTACTTCGAAGTACTAGCATAATTGTTCAAGACAGTATTTACAGTTAACATGTCAATTTGATCCAATGATGCACACATTTTAATGTCCCTCATAATTATTGAGGAATGGCCTTCGCAAAACTTCGACGGATTTCTTGGGGTGTAATGTGAGCCCATGCTTTGATACCACGATGAACTATGGCCAAACGCTTCCGGTGGGCGGTCACAGTCATCATGTCGACATCTTCCTCCTCGTCGCCTTAATCAATTCCTCTTCGAGCCAAAGGTCGCGTAAATGCCTCTTGAATGGTGCCATGATGGCGACGTCGAGTGGCTGTACGGCACTGGTCGCATTCGGTGGGATTGGCGCGACAAGACAACCGACTTCTTCTGTCGCGATACGAACACCAGATCGCTAACATGAGATCAAAGCTGTCAAGCAACAAGACGGACGGCGCGTGGACTTGTAGCTTCAAAAGAGGTCGTAGGTAGTAGTCCAAACACGCGCGTCCATCCATGCACACTCCTGGACAACATAGTGATGACCGATCGGAAAGTCATCGAACTCGTTCTTCTCGATCAGCCCGGCATGCCACGCATGATAAACAATATCGGCAACTTCTCACCATCGGCGCGCACAGAGAGCACAGCTGTCATACGGTACGCATGCTTTTCGCCGCTGGAGATCTTTGAGCTTCCTCCCCGTACTGCCCAGATGGCCTTCGGTGGCATGTCGTACGACATGCCTGTCTCATCTACGTTAAAAATGGTGTCAGCGTCAAAGGCTGTATGGAAGTCAAGCACGAATGCCTTGTGAAGCTCGTCCAGGTCGCCTTGCAGTCGTTTCGCTTTAGTGGGTCTTTGACGCGTGAAGCCGTGCCGTCCACAGAACGTCTGTAGCAACCGTAAAAGCGTCTGGTAGCCGCTGTGCTTTTCTCCGAGGTATGTGTCGAGCCATTGTCGGTGAAGGCGCTTCAGATAGTTGACGAGGTGTGTGCATGTCACTGCTCACTCAGCCTCGCGCAGCTTGAGCATGAACGCAGTCAGCGCCGTGGTGTCCGGGATTTCTTCGGGCCGGCCAGCACCAATCAAGGTTGAAGCGCTTCATATTGCCGTCGAAACTCAATAGCTTATCCTTCTGCTGCATCCAACGCGATAAGTTGCTCTTCGGGATGCCTGTCTCTGCTTCTAGGCCGCGAGTGCTGGCTTCGAGCATCTTTGGAACCATTTGGCGCTTCATCGCATCCGTGTAGCGCCGTCTTGGCTTCTTCTGAGGTCTGATCTTGTTGCGACGAACTGGTGCCATCGTGGAATGACACGCGTGCATGTTTTGAAAGCCATCAACGCGCGAATTTAAAATATTTTCCCGCGAACCAATCTTGTAGCCAATCATGGACTAGTATTATCATAAAGTTATTTGATTGGTTGTAAAGAATCATGTGTTTCCAAACTTCGGTGTCCCTTAAAATCCCTCGTCGTCTGTAACCTTGGAGTGGTGCAGTAGTCGACACAATGCCCACAAGACACACATGATTCCATGGGTATCGTTATGCTTTGGACGATTTGGTGGTGGTTTACAGGATCTGTATGAACTTGGTTGAAAAACCCACTTTAAGGTAAATGATCGAATTCTCGGACATGATCGAATTCTCGGACATTGGAGTTTTGACCAATCAGTAGGCTCAATTTTAGTGGGAACCAATTCTATTGGATATGATAATATTCACCACTTCTTGACTTCACCACTTTTAACTCCAATAGTATTGCCACAAACAATAAAAATACATGGGAAGTGCCTCTGCAGCATGGTTGAAGACGAAGGAGCACGTGAGAGAGGAAGTATTGACCTTACCCCCGCAGAAGAAGGGAATTAAAGAGCGGAAGCGTGTGTCCACTAACCTGGAATGGTACACTCGGGAAGAACTTCATGCATCTGCAGTCCATCCAGTCAAGCAGAAGAAGTAATTTTTTTATGCAATTAATATAATTTTGGGTAATATAATGACTTTTGTCCACCATCGGTATTATAATACGTGCATTGTATTTGGGGCGTATATTTTGTAAATTATTTTACTTCAATACAAAATGTAAGGTAATTCTATGTCCGAGAATTAAGGTGCATCGAAATTGTCATTACTAATTTTACTCCATGTATTTATTTTAGTACAAATCGCAATTATCATTGATTGAGTATCTATGAGGCAGTAAAAAAAACTCCAGGAATTGTATTTTCGAGTGGTACTTTCAGATTTTTGAGATGATGTTTAGTTACTGACTTACGTCCAATCAAAGTCGAAAAACAAGTTGTTAGCAAATCGTGTCCGAGAATTCGATCATTTACCTTACATCACTTCTGTACGTAACGACTACATATAGGGTTAGTACACTTGATTTTTACTTGCAACTTTTTACTTGCAACTTTTTCAATATTTGTCCAATCAACACGCGTTAAGGATCAGCTTCATCCAATGAATGAGATGAATACGTTGGTATGTTTATATTACAGGCACGTTGTAGACGTGCTGAGTAATGTTAAAAATAGTTCGAACGATTGGTTTTTGGACTGGACAAAAAGCATAGGTAACGTTACACAGTCCATTTTCGCGGTTGCAAGCTCTCATCGATCGTCCAGCTACCTGCGATAGACGGGTATGATAGCTCGAAACATGCATAGACAATAACACTCATGCATGCATGCATTAGACATGGCACAAGGCGAGCCTTTAACCCTGCACGAGCGTGGGACGATCTTTGCCTTTCGCAAGGCAAAATGACCCATTCGGAAGATTGCCACATGGGGGAATGAGTGAATTGGTTGTTCCTCTTAGCATCAGCCATCCTCCAACGCTTCCTTGCACGCCGATGGGACCCCAGCGTCAAATGGTACAATCACTGCCACACTTCGTAATCCGTTTTCACACAACTTAGAAGTGTATTTGATGGTGTGGTTGTGGCATGCGCAGTGCTGGTGGTCACAGGCGCTGCGCATGTCATCACCATGCCATCAAGTACCATTTCAGTGAACAAAGTAGTGTGAAAAATTGGTGGCCGTTGGTGGTCGATTTAGAGGAAACACAGGTTCGATGTGACATGGCTAGTCGTGATGATGTACAGTGCTGTACGTCAAGGCCATTGAAAATACTACTTTTTTACTTATTTGTGCTCAAGAGAAAACAAGATCATTCATTTCACAAGGACTTATGGACTGAGTTATTTATTTGTGCCTCCCCTGTTAAATTATGTATTACCCCCTGCGTCCGGAGCGAATGAATGATTTGAATAATTCAAAACAACATATTGAATGGGTACTGTATGCTGTTATCGGAATGAAATGAACTTGCTATAACTCGTTACTATATACTACGTAGTACACAGTACTGACTACGTAGTACTTCAAAGTACTTTGCACCAATTTTCGGCATACTAGTAGTTCACATTTGAGACCAACAACTACTAGTTGTTAAGTCACAACGGTGGTCGCCAATCGCCCCCTTCGTAGAGAGAAGAATCGCGCATACATTCTTGACGTTGGGACAATAAAGCGGCAATGAAGGAATAAGCTCGGCAAAAGCCTTACCAGGGAGGGTGTTCAAAGCTGCCGACATCAAAGGCATACAGTGAAGGACGGATTTTCGATTCAGAGAGGCCAAATCATTCCAAATTTTGAGCACCATGGAGCTCGACACCCCCAACACGTCCCGAGGAGGTCGCCGACATGTGTATCCAATGTCGTTGAAGAAACGAGGTATCGCGCTGTTACAGCACAAGTCCATCCACAAGGTGGCAGGCGACATCTCGGTCTCGTACAGCGTCGTGCGCAACTGGAAACGCATTTCACACAAGATCGATAAATTTAAGGGCAACTTGCGCGGAGCAGGCCGCCCGCCAGTACGACCCGAGCCCGAAGCCCTTCTGCAGTTCATGGATGCCCGTCGTCACCAAGAACGCGCCCTAACATGTACGCACATGGTCAATTTCCTCAAGCAGCACCAGAACACCTGGCTTCAAGACTGCATTCGGCGTCAAAAGGAGGGTAGCGGATACGACATCCTCTTGAAGATTCTCCAACGCTTCTGCGGTCGACATGGATACACGCATCAACAAGCATGTGCCACCTAGAGAACGACCACCGTTCTTGAGAGCACTCGCGCCGAGTTCGCTGCCAGTTTCCATGCCAAGCATGCCACCATGGCCGACGACTGTGTCTATAAGACAGGAATTCAGTATGACATGCCACCAAGGTACATCTGGTTCAAGAAAGGGGGCACACCCAAGCTGTCCAAGGGCGAATAACGCTCGCACCGCATAGCCGCCGTGTTGACCATATGTCGCGATGGAGCCAAACTGCCAATCCTGTTCGTCATCAAGGGCCAGCCTGGCCGCCGCATCAAGACACGCATTAGGTACCAACCTATCCATCAGGAACACTTCTGCGTCATGCAGGCGAATGCATGGATGGACGGCGAGGTATGGAGACAGTACCTGTGGATCGTGTTGGCTGAACGGATCGTCGGACAGTCGCTCCTGGTTCTCGACAACTTCGACTCCCACGCAGCAAGGAAGGGGTCGACACCGGCGCCGAAATCGGTTTCGATGTGTGCCCGCTTCCGCCAAACGCGACTTCCCACTGCCAACCGCTCGATGTCTCGATCATGGCTCCATTCAAGCGCCATATACGTGACCTGTGGATAACAGAAGACATGGTGAGCCACGGTGACGACGACGACGACGAGAACTGGATGTCACCTGCGACGCATGTGAAGCGGACAACGATGATCAAGAGGGCGATCGATGCGTGGGAGACGATCACACCAGAGCAGATTCGTGGCAGTTTTCTCAAAGCGATTCCAAATCCGCAGTAGAAGTGCTTGGGACGGCATTCGCCGCCACAAGCACCTACAAACAGTATTTTCGTGATTAGTTGCAATCGATAGCCCTGATCAAGGCGGTCATTTTGGCGGTGGGTTCATGCAAAACGAATAAAAACGAAGTTATGGGGGAAATACTATTGTGTTGTTGTATGCTTCACACAGAGCCCCCACTTTTGATATTTAATTTAATTTGACAATTCTTGCCCCATGGAAAAGCTATTGGTCAGAATATTCATCGTATTTCGAAGTTTACCAGCCAATTATATCTTGAGAAACCTACTCAACTTCGAGCGAGAGTGTGGCTTAAAATCCGTCCTTCACTGTACTATGTAATAATGCGCCATAGTTAGAGCCTCTTTTCGTAGTATTGTGAATTCGCTATAAAATTCCAAAATTCGCGGTTTGTCTACAGTGAGCGACGAATCAATATTGAATCATGCTGGAGTTCTGATTGGTTGAATATAATTGTCCTTTGTGAAAGAGCAAAATTAGCTAAAAGCGTCGTTTCGTGATTCGATGGGGTCTAGAAATCTGTACCGAATCCACAATACATGTAGTTAACTTTTGCCGTTCAATACTTGGGGCCAATCGGAAGCTTGTCATCCTAGCAATTGGTCCAATAAGATCGTTGAAAATGCCTACGAATAATTTGGTCGAAATGAATCATTTATTTTACGGCTTCAAAAACATGAACAATTTATTTATATACGGAACAATTGTAGATTATTTACTCAAGGACTGAATTACAAAGAATAATTTAATTTATTTAACTTATTGAATAGTACTTCTTTTTAGATTATTTTTGAAGGGCCTTGCTGTACGTCCTCCTAAGCGTACGAATCGAGTGCGCAGGCTCCAACGTAGTGGTAGCTTGGTATCACGGAGAGCCGAAGCGCGAGCGCCAGGTAAGCTTAGCACGATGTCGTACTATAGTAGTAGTACGTCAGCCAACAAGTACAATACCGTCTTGGAAGCTGAAGCTCAAACGCGATGCATGAAAATACCTATTTTCTAGCGATGTGATTGGCCCAATGTAACGTAGTGGTTTATACTATTAATAGTATAAACCTGGCCAATTTGTTTTGAACAAATCGAAAATGTAATGCATGGTTCATTACGATGCCGTTATTTTCGCCAATATTTCATGTCATTTTCTGGATTATGGTTCACGGAAAAACTGGATTACCTGAATCTCATGGAGTTCCAGAAAGTACGATAGTACAACTAGCATTATCCGAATGTTTTCGAATACTGTACCAAATTGTTCGCGCGCAATCTTACAGAACCGAGGATGGCGACAACCCACCCTGCAAGACTCAAACGCTACTGGATCGAATCAACCTTGTTCACTCGAGCCATCAACAAAGGCTCGTGAACTCTCACGTGGTATTTCGAACCGGACGACAACCTTTCGAGGCGTAAGTTGTGTACCCTATGTACATAGATACCAATCTGGGGCGTTTTAGACTTCGACTGGAATTGATATGTGTACTTCGTATCCTTCTTGATGATGATACGATGATTGAACAAGGTTTGAAACATTCGTACAACTTCATCGTTGGTAAGGCTAACTGTAAACTCGAGACCTAATTATCCCCTTAAGACAGGCCTAATAAGAATAGGTATACGCCTATTTTCCAGATAGAATAGGCGTGTTTCCTAAACACAGACTTATATTGCTCTAATTAACTGCTTTTGAGGAGTGATGGCTCGTGGAAGGTCGTGTGTTAGTCGGCATCCCGCTGTGCGATCAGGCCGAGCATCTCGCTGATCGTGGCAAGCTGCTTGGTCTGGACAGCGCAATAAGGCTGACGCGGTAGGCGTCCTTCACGCACTTGAGTATAGAGAAATCGTACTCTATGGACGTGGTGTTGGCGAAGGCCGCCGCAAAATGCGCGCAGATGGTCCAGGGTGGGCTGGGTGGGCAGGTTGTCCCAAGCATTGTTGAACATGGTCTTGTAGATGTTATCGTCGAAAATGTTCTTGATGGGAGCCGAATTTCGTATTACTTCGAACAGGGCGCGGTGCTCCTCCTCGATCATTCCAACGCGCTCCTCGCCCCATGCCGCGGCGATCATGTTGCTGCGCGGATCCAGGACATCCTTCAATGAACTTGCTCATCTGCGTCTTGACGAACTGCACCGGCAGAACGGGCGGCGTGAGCTCTGCGGCTGCTTTGTTGCGGTAGTCGCGCTCACCCTGGACAAGCGGCCGATTTCGAGCAGCACATCCTTCTGCTCGTCCTCGTCGAGCGACAGGTAGAGTTCCTTTACCCAGGTCCCTTGATCCTTGACGTGCACGAGGACGTCTCGACCGTGATCCACCATGGGCCGTCCTCGATCAAGTCGTCTGCTTATAGCTGATCGGGGATCTGCTGCACGTCCTTGTGTTTGGTACTGGCCATCATGATCAGCCTTTGGACCAGTGCTCGATCTCGGATGTCTGCTGCGACAGGACAAGAGCGTGCGCACGAGCGTTATGCAGCACGACTTGGCCATTGGGTTGATGGCGGCGACAATGATGCAGTAAGCGACTTAGTGTGACAAGGTGGGTTGTTTCTTTTCAATACATCGCATTGGATGGGCCCGGTGCGTCATCCGATACTGCAGTTGGGCCTGGAAATGTGCCCAGCGGTTCGTGTCCTTCGGACATTTGCTCAACATCTCGAGCTGCGGGTTGGACCGTGAAGGCAAATTTGACTTATTTGATGCCTTTTTACTGTTAGAGCATCCCCACCCCTGACGCTAAACCCAAAACTCTAAAACCAGATCTAAAGTGGGATCACGCAAAATAATTTAGAATTTTTCATCTATTTCACACCGGTTGCCAAACAGCGATTGAACTCTATTCGCATGGATGCACGACACCAAGCCGCAGAATCGCCTGGATAAAAGTAGGTTAGGGCAAAGCATGCCAACAAGTCAGTGAATGAACTACTAGCAGGGAATATCGCTTAGAAAGCCGCATCAGTAGTAGCACTCCGTTGCCGGTACTAGTGCGGTTGCGACCTATAATCGCGTCTACGCTTACATGCGCTTGAAAACGAACAGATACACAATATTTGATAGATAGTCTACGCATGCGTTAACAGAAATCCAAAAGTCGCAATAGAGGGGGAGGGAGCATGCTCCGTTGTTTGAGACTGCACCCGCTCGTTGCAGTGCCCACATCCCAGTGCCTGCGATGTGGGCACCGTACACGAGCGAGCGGGTGCAGTGCTGGGGCAACGCATGCAGGCGCTGGTTCCATGCGACCTGGTCGTCCTTGCATCTGTTCAGGCGCCAACTTTCAGTGTGCTTCCTACAAGAATCGCAATAAGGTTAACATCGTCGGTCGGCGAGGTTGGCACATGCCGAAGGACGACTGCCGCCATGGCCAATGCTGACAGTCATCCTTCACCATACAAACGTCACATGCAGTCGCGTCGATGAGTTACACAAGATAGGACTCATGGGCTCACTCTAACTTAGCG